ACAGATGTTAAAATGTTACACTAAGCAAAAGGAACCTGTCATGAAAGACTGTTACTGGAGTTTTGTGGCAAAAGTCTTCCTGGGGATCCCAAAAGACCAAGCTTGTCCATACGTTCTGTCATGGCAGTCAAGGAGCTGAGCAATGCTGAAGGGCAGGAAAAGAGGAACCGTAATCAGCACAGCCATCCTGGGAAGGAGAGATAAAGGGATTCAAAATCCATCTTTCAGGGACTGCCAGAAGCTCTAGGGTTTTGTAGAACTGGAGTGGTTGGAGGTATGCACAGCTGGCAGGGTAAGTAATCCTGGTCAAGTCATGGTCTGGTCAGTCGATACCTCAGGACAGGTTGATGATGGCTCTGGGAGAGCCATCATCTCTGAGGGGGTAGTTCAGTTCCTGTTATGAGATATGGCTTCTGCTAAGGGGGCCCTTTGGGTTCCCTTCATGGAGTCATTGCTCCTCCTTGGGAGGTGACCTCATCATGGCGTGATCTGCCACGCTCTGCTTTTTCTGAAATCTGAGATGACTGTGGGTGTAGAAAAATGACTGGACACTCTTAGGATCTGGAATTGGACATTATAAAAACTGGCAATTGGATATCCCTTCAAATCCCGAAAATTAGTTACTCTTACCTTGATGTCTTCAGTCTTGAATGGGGATGAGATAGGCTAGGTAAGTTTGGGACTAAAACCTTGCAGTACAGATGTTCCTTAAGTGACTAACATGCCTACATGCAGAGCTGAATGGAATCTCACCCAGAGTTTTAAGTAACAAAGGAGGCAGATGCAAATGAAGACAGAGATGTCAAGCTTTATCCTGCTTTTAGTTACCACTGGGTGTTTGCAGGCCCAGCCTCTGGATCCCTATTACAAGACCATATATTGTATGATTCCATTTAGATGAAATGTCTAGAATAGACAAATCCATAGAGATAGACAGTGGATCTGTAGTAGCCTAGGCCTGGCTGATGGGAACCAGGAATGCTACTGAAACAGGGTTTCTGTTGATACAGGGGATGATCAAAATGTTCCAAAATTAGATTGTAGCAATGGTTGCATAACTTTCAATATACTCAGAACCACTGACTTATACACTATTAAGAAGTGAATATCTTGGTATGTGGATTATATCTCAATAGAGCTGTCTTAAATAAAAGCAAAGTCAGGGATCAGAGGAGCCCAGAGGTGAGTTGACAAAGACCAAATGTCCAACACATGGATTCTACCCACTCTGTCTTTGAACAACACACTATGCAAGACTGAAAAATATGGAATGCAGCCTTTCCTTTCCCTACTGTCTGCACAGTAGGAGACCTGAATCCCCCTGAATAAACCCTAAGTTCATGTTAATACCTTCTATCCAGTACTTATCATTTCTGTAATCCAGGTGGTTTGAACAAACAGAAAAACAAGATGGCCTGTACACTTCAGGTGCTTGGGAATTAGAGACACCTTGAGAGAGTGCACCTGTTTACCAGGCCAGGGCAGGCCTCAGGTGCGGGAGAGGGGAGGGAGGGTGTTCTAGTCATCTGTGCTGCATCCCCAGCCACCCTAAACCTTGTCTGTCATGGTTCTGGGGATCAGCCTGGTTCAGTGAAGGAAATTCTTACCATCTTTCAAACAGCTGCAGTCAGATTATGACTGAGGTTGAAACTATCAGGAAGGTTCTTTCATACACATCTGGCCACTGATGCCAGGTGTCCACTTGGACCTCAGCTAAGGTTATCAGCTGAAGCACCTACCCATGGCCATTCCACGTGGCCTAGGCTTCCTTGTGTCTTGGTGCTGGGTTCCCAGAACTAGGGGAAACTTCGATAGGACCTAGCCTTAGGAGTACCATAATGTCACAGAGGAGTATCACTGTCACCTAGTAGGAAGAGCAGATGAGATAGGGAATATTAGATGGCCACTTTTAGCAACTACTCCCCGCCACCCCCAGGGAATTGACGTAGAAACCTGCCCCACAGGGATGTCACAGAGGAGGCACAGGTGGCTGACTTCAGTGCCAAATCTAAGTTTGAATTCAGAGACTGCCTGGTGAGATCAGGCCTTGGTGTCCTCTGTAAAAGGGGGTGGACTTAGTATTGCTCCACAGGATGGCAGTGTGGAGTTCCATGAGAGTACACTGTGGCCAGCAGGGCACCAGGCACATGCGGCTCCTGGAAATCATGTGTTATTGCTATTTTAAGGTCCAGGGCTACAGTCACTCTGATACAGGGACAGCCCCCTTCTAGGATCTGGATCCCATGTCTCCCCAGACCTTCAGCCAGTCACAGACAAGTGTAGCACCAGGGGCCAAGCCCAGGACACTGATGCTGCTGGCCCTAGGTTCCTAACACAGGGAACTCCCAGTTGACTTGGTTTTCTGGGAAATCTGCTCCTCTGTTTGTCAAGGCAAAGGCAGAGTGAAGTTGGAATGTATGGGGGATGAGCCACCAAATATGGCTTCCAGGGTGAGGAGGAGGGTGCTGGTGGCTGGGACATGTGCTGGGTGGGGTGGAGCTGGGGTTTCTCAACTGAGCTGCTGTGGAAGGAAGAGCAGTTGTCTCTGGACTTCCTGAACTCAGCCCTGGGAGGACCCTGACCCAGTCAGCCACCGAATGGCTTCTTCCCATGATCTCCTGATGTGGCCAGAGGGCATGTCCTGCTCTGACTGGGGTCACCATTCCTCAGGCCGGGCTTGGCAGAAGCTGGGCCCAGGAAGGGTATGGCTCTCCACCTTCCTGGGGTCCCTCTCTCTCTGAAGGATATGCAAACCTGCTCAACAGTTCAATTCCCAGCCAAAGACCATCCCAAAGTCCTTTCTGTTTGCCTCCAGGGTTGAAATCTGAGACTTGCTAAATACAACGTGATGTTCACCAAATCTGGCTTCTCCCCAGGCCTCCACTTTCTCATCTATACACTGAGAATATTACTGAGGGCCTAGAGACCAGTGATGGTGATTCTCTGTAGAAATAACCCAGAGGTTCTGAATTCTTCCCAGGGGAGTGAAAAAGTTAGCCATTAGATCATCTGTGCAGCCAAAGGAGGTGGCTGATAGTGCTGTTTCATCCTCTCACTATACAGATGAGGCCACTGGAGAAACACCTGAGGGTGTCACAGATAATCACAAAGACCCTGGTTTGAATCCCAGTGCTGCCAGTTACCAGCTTTGTGCTGAGTATTAGGAAAAAAGTCTGTAAAGCTGTGTCCTCATCTGTGGAAAAAGGGTCCCCAGGGTCCTCAGGACAAAAATAGAAGTGTAAAGTGGAGAGACTTGCCCAAGCCACAACCTCCAAGACACAGCCTGCTCCCAACCCATGGCTCCGTGTAGCTGCAAAACAGAAGCATTCAGTGAGTCTTCTAAATGCTCTTTTCATTTTTTTTTTTTTCATAGTGCTGGGGATCAAAGCCAGGGCCTCACACATGCTAGGCAAGCACTCTACTATTGAGCTCCAGCCCCTGACAAATGTTCTTAAAAATAGGTAGTTAAAAAAAAAAAAAAAAAAGGTAGTTTAAAAAGCTCCCCAAGCTGGGTGTGGTAATGCAAGCGCTCTGGTAGTCTTAGTTACTTAGTGAGATCTTGTCTCAAAATACAAAAGGGCTTGAAGATGTAGTCTTGAATTTAATACCCCAGTAGGAGGAAAAAAAAAAAATCTCCCTAGGTGACTACTGCTGCACAGCTAGGGCTGCAATCTACTCACCAGTCTATAGCCTCACTAAGTGTGTGGTTCTGCAGCAGTGCTGTCACTTGGGGTCTTCTCAGAAATGCAGAGTCCCAGGGCCCTCCCACACCTGCTGAACCACAATCCAAATGTTAACAAGGTGATTTGGTGCACTTCGTAGTTTCTGTAACTGTGATATTAGTCTGGGGAGCACTGACTTGGACATTGATTCCAGACAGCAGTGGGTATTCAGAGAAGGACAGACAAGGCCATTTAAGAGGATTTAACGGCCTTTGTAGATGGGAAGAGGGATTCTGTGACTCCTGTAAGAAAGCTGGACATTCACATGTAAACCATAAGATAGCAGCCAGGTGAGAAAACAGCCCCATGAGCTTCTTCAGCCCTGCAGGAGACTTAGGTGCTACCAGCCTGTCACATCCTTGGAGAGAAACCTCCCAAGCAGACCTGGGAGCACAACATAGGTCATACTGCTTACTGGTTAGCCATGGCTTTATTGCTCTTTGAATTTTATTTGTTTTCATATACCTATTAAAAATGAGCCTACTTTGGAGAAGAAGGGGGGTGGGAGAAAAGTAGCCAAGACTTCCAAGCAGGCAGGTGGCCAGAGAGGAGGTTTCTTAAGGAACCAAATGAGGACATTTCACACCACTTTGGTGGGGCCCAGCGGGTCCTGCAGTGGTAACCAGGATGTGATTTATTCAGGGCAACTGCTGGAACTTTCTTGGAGTTTAGAGCATGAGCAGAGATAAAGATGAGGAAAAAGGGGAAAGGTCCAGCAATGACCAGTAAAACAAGAAAAGTGTCCCTGGGCACTGAGCACCCCACCACCACCACGGTGTGCATGTCCCCTGGCTTGGGGCATCTGATTACACTCTATTTTTTAGACTTGACTTCCTATCTTAGTTACTTTCTTGTTCCTGGGACAAAATGCCTGACACCCACAAGTTAAAGGAAGAAAGCTTTATTTCAGGTCATAGTTTGTAAAGGTTTCAGTCCATAGTTGGCTGACTCCAAGGCAGGGCAGCATGGCTGAGGGACATGGTAGAGGAGAAGCAGTTCATGGCATGAAAGTAGAAGGCAGCCAGTAGTGAGCCTTCTTTTCCATTTTTATTCCATTCAGACTACAAGCCTATTGGTCGGTGCCACCCATACCCAGGGTGGGCCTTCTGTTATCTATACAAAGAACTTTGCTAAACCAGTCAGTGGACTAATCCAGTAATCTAATATCTAATAATATAATATCAAAGACCCATAATCCAGCCACCTCCCCAAAGCCCTGCTTGTAAGAACATGAGGCCTTGAGGGGACATCTAGATATAAGCCATAACACTTCTCCAGTCAAGACATCTCAAGCCTTTGAGGGATGTATAATCCAGTTTTGGACAAGGAGAGGAGGCAGTATTCCTCCCCGCTAGATGATGCAACCTGAAGGCCCAAGGGCATCTTGGCATCATCTCCCCAGACTATCAGACCCAGGTTTTCCAGGTAACTTTCTTGAATCCTATACCTACCTACTTTCTTCCCGATTCCCCATCAGGGCTCAATAACATAACAGATTTATATGAAAAAAATATGTATATATGGCTGCCTGCAGGATCATGAGTGGAAGAATGCAAAAGTGCTGTCTGAGTGCTAGAGAGCCTAACAATCCAGTCAAAGGTGGGAACCTGGAGCTCACTGCAGAGCCCTGTTGGCAGCTGAAGGCTCTACACAAGAATGCTGAAGAGTCTGACCGACAAGAAGCCTATTGGCTCTCACTGTTGGCACCCAGGGTGGATCTTGTTTTCAGTAAATCCATTCAGCTACATCCAAAACTGCTAATCCAATCGACTGGGTGATGCAGCAGTTAACTATACTTCCTTATGACCAGGCTGATGGGTAACCCTGTTTCCGACCAGGTGTTCCCAGACCCTGGCCCAGTAATATGGGCGTGCCTCTGCATCACAAGGGTGCTCGCCTCTTGGCTGGAGGGCTTTTTCTCCATGTTTAGCTGAAGGCTGGAGATAACATAGAGAAAGGCAAAGGTCAGGGCCACTTCATCCTGGTGAACCCCTTAGCAGATGGGGACATTCCAAATTCCTAGCCAGGTGGGAACAGCTCAACTTCCTGGCTCCAACGGTGAAGGAAGTTCTCTCTGGAATTGCCAGTGGCTCAGGCTGCCCTCCAGTGGTGCTCAGTCATAACTGCATTCCACTGGCCTAACTTTTAAGAATGGGGTGGGAAACTCCCCTGAGCTCTGCTCTTGTTCGCCCCACAGGGAGGCGACAGTTTTCCTCTCATTTGGCACATCTCTCCATGCCATATGATATCACCCCTCAGAAGGGAAGGGAATTAGGATGTATCCAGAGCTGACTTCTTTTTACCAGGACCTTGGCACACCTTGTTTCCCTGATCTCACCCAAAGTCCTCCGTGTGTGTGTACACGTGCGCTACTGACCCATGCACAGAAACAGTTCCTTCTTCTGAGGCAGGTAGTCACATCCCCTGCTGTCACCAAACTTCAAACCGTGATCTTAATGATCCATACACCTGTGCCAACCCCTCAGGCCAGGAGTCTGCAGGCTGCAAAAGGTGGGAGCAGGTGGCAGGTATTAAGTCAAAGGGGAGAAGTGGGGCTGCAGCAGCCTGAGGGGTGTGCACCCCATCTAAGGTACTGCCACACAGCCCCAAAAGTCAAAGATGACTTTTGAGTGGGAAGGTTGGACTAACACTCGGGAGAAGCCAGAGTCTGGATTTTTTATTGGAGAGTTCCCAATGTGAAGTACAATTAACTCATAAAAGAGTTTTAAAGGTTACTCAAGTTAAATACAAACTGTTTCTAACATTTTGAGCTTCTGGAACACCTTTGTGTCGCAGGTGAAGTGTGGAGAGAGGAAGTAAGTTGCCCACAGTCATGTGACCATTCAGAGACAGAGTGTGAACTTGAACCTGTCTCCTCACTCGTAGGCCAGTATTACTCTCATCATACCTGTCATCTATCCGTCCTGCTCACCAGGCCTGGGGCAGAGGGTGAACCACTTCCCTCCTCAGCAGGGTAGCAGGCAACATCAGACTCAAGCTAGAGGCTGGACAACACCTATATTTATTGAGCAGACTGTTTAGAGTACAGCAGCGCCTTCCGTGGCCCCTCTTGGAAGAGTACCAGAATACTGCTAAACATGTGGAGTCCACAGGCTCTCCTGCATCCCTGCTGAGGTAGTGGATTGATCCTTTGTGTAATGACCTTTGCCTGAGGGACCTGAATTTGTTTTGTACATAGGACAGAATGGGCCTGATCTCTCCCAAGGTCAGGCCATCTCTACCTGAGCCTGGGCCCAAAATCCTTGGAAGCTAGTATTTAAGGGGAAGATACTCAGTTTACATATGGGGAAACTGAGGCTTGAGGCAGGAGGAGACTTTGTGGCTGGATTTCCAGCATGGCCCCAGACATGGGCCAGACAGTACTTAGACACTCTCCTTCTCCCAGTTCAGGGCAGAAAGCTTTCCCTGGATCAGCTACTCTGGAAATATAATCTATAAATACATGTTTTCTTTTTTAAAAATAATAAATTAGATCTCAGGCTTGCCTGCAGTCATCTGGCAAGCCATGTATCATGGGACATGGACACTTGTGTCATATATAGATCAACAATCACATGACCTGCCACCCGTAGTGCTAGAACTCATGCCACCAACCACATGTTACACTGCAATTCCATGAGATACCACATGTCAAGAGGTCATACTCTGCCACGTATGGTCTTTGATGTCTGTACTACGTCATGACACCCTCACTCTGCCACACATCTTCACAGGTCACACACATCATGCATGATGGAGGGTACTCCTTTAGCCATACCAAGCTCCTAGTCTCCCAAGTGGTCCTCCCTGAAGACCACAGCCGGATGAGCATGTCTCCCCCTTTCTGAAGCAGGTGCAAGGCACCAGCTGAGCATCTTTTCTTGAGTCCTCTCTCCTGGTGAGTGATGTCGGCATCATTTGGCTGGATTCCGAGCCTTGAGAAGGCCATCACTCATGTAGCCTGGGTGCGGTTGTCAAAGAAGGTGAAGTCCAGCCTGGGCTCCTGGCTCTGCAGATGCTGGGCCATGGCAGGGGGAACAAGGTTATTCCAGAGGCTGTGGGCACAGAGACAGGGTCAGGTCCTGGAGCGGCTCACTAGTCCTTTTGTCTCTGCCCCTGTCCTAAGTACAGATGGGGAGACAGGGTCCCCATAGGGGAAGGGCCATACGCAGAGTTACCTGCAGAGGCAGTAGGCAGCATAGCTGCCTTATGCAGGTGGTGTCCCTCACACCCACTCTGACTCTTCCCACTGTGCAACCCCAACATACCCACAGGACACATTCATACAAATAAGGAAAATGTTCCATTCTCTGAAGTTGTCCTAATACATTGGATTTGATAGAACAAGACACTTTACCACCATCTATTTGAAATATCATGTGTCTGCAACAAGAATGGTGTCCCTTAGATGCAACGTCCCTGTTTAATGCCCAACCTATACAACTGCAGGTGGTGCTCTGATTATAGCTACCATTTTAAGTGCTTATTGTGTGTGGATGCAGTGCCTTTTATACTGATTTTTTATGCTCACAAAACTCTTAGATACCATCATTATTCCCATTTTATAGATGAGGAAATTGAGTTCCAGAGAGGTTGTATTACTGATGCAGTTTACACAATTAGCAAGTAGCAAAGCTGGGATTTGATCCCGGTCTTCTGGCTGCCAAGGTCTCGGTGGAGTGGTCAAAGCCTCAGGCCAAGCCCTGTCTCTTCCTACAGGGAGTCCCCTTAGATTGTGGGGCTTGGTATGGCCTCCCACCCACCACCCCTGCCCCTGCCAAGTCTCTGTTACCGGATGACATGGACACCAGACCCCTGGGCCAGCCCTTTAGCCAGGAGCCAGGCTCCAGCAGCTGTGATCCGATTCTTCTCCAGGCTTCTCAGTGGATGTTGAAGGAAGGAGAGAGGAAGCCATGAGACAAGGTGAAGGGTTCCCCTATGTCCGTTCCCTAGGGACACACGCGAAGAGGGGACACACCCGCCCCACACTACTGACATCCAGCCATGCAGCAGGAAGGCCAAGGGCTAGTGCCAAGAACTAAGCTCAGTTCCAGCTGGGCCAACTCCAGGAGGGTTTATGGGAGTCTGGGACAGGCCCAGTGGTCTCTGAGCTGCTTCCAGGACACAGACCCCACCTTCAGCCCACCCTGCCCTGCGGTGTCCTCTCATACTCCACTCTCCTCAGTCGGCCCATCCTCGGCAGAACCTGGGCCAGCTCTGCAGCTGCCTCGTCTCCTAGGAGATTCCACGACAGCCTGTGAGAGAGGGCCGAGGTCAGCAAAAGAGGGATAGGTGTGGTGCGGCCCAAGGATGGTACAGCCCAAGGATTTTTGTGGAGGGCTGGGAGCTGGTGGGGCCAGGATTTGTGTGCAGATACGAGAGAGGCCATCTGTCAGGGTGCTTGAGCACCTTCTCCTGCAGGCTTCCGGCACAGGTATCCCCTCCTGGAAGCTGCTCTGTTCTCCAGAACACAGGTGCCATGGCTACACTGTCATGAAGCAGAAGTCTACCACAAAGGCACTTCATCACGACTTCTGCCACATCTACACACCTCCCATGTTCTTATGTGTGTCAGAGTTTCTTTATAACTGTCTTTTTCATCTTAAGAGATGAATCCTTGCCTATAATCTCAGTACTCTGGGAGGCTGAGATGGAAGGATCACAAGTTCAAGCCCAGCCTGGACAACCTAGTGACTTAATGAGACCCTCTATCAAAATAAAATAAAAAAGGGCTGGGGATGTAGCTCAGTGAAAAGGTCTTGGGTTCAGTCCCCAGTACTGGGAAGAAAGAAACAAAGAAAGGGTGGGGGGAGAGAGAGAAAGGAAGGAAGGAAGGAAGGAAGGAAGGAAGGAAGGAAGGAAGAAGTTCAAGCCCAGCCTGGACAACCTAGTGACTTAATGAGACCCTCTATCAAAATAAAATAAAAAAGGGCTGGGGATGTAGCTCAGTGAAAAGGTCTTGGGTTCAGTCCCCAGTACTGGGAAGAAAGAAACAAAGAAAGGGTGGGGGGAGAGAGAGAAAGGAAGGAAGGAAGGAAGGAAGGAAGGAAGGAAGGAAGGAAGAGAAAGAGAAAGAAAGGAAGAAAATGAAACTAATCTTAAAAGGAAATATTTATCCCTACTGTCAATGGAAACCTCATTGAGGGACCCTACATACAAGGTAGTTGCCAAGTATACACTCAGGGTGAACAATTGAAGTAATTTAGCTGGAACCCGTGTCCTTCTTAAGTCTGTGCCCTGCTCCTGTTAAAAAGGGAGTGTCACCAGCATGGATGTGAAAGACGAGTTGGCACTGATCTGAGGCTTCCTCTTTGGCTAAGGAGAAGGATGAAGACCTTTAGGGTGCAAACCTGAAACCCACTTGGAATCACTTGTGCCCTGCCCCTTCAGAGGTATCATTTTCTTCCACACTGTGGTTAGGGTAACAGCCTAGTCTGGGCAGTCTGGTTTGTCCGTGGGGCAGTGCTGTGAGTCCTCAAGGTCTGAGCAAGTGTGACTGCTAAGTGGGAGCTGGACATAGCCAGAGTGATTGCTTGGGGCTCAGTAGTGTCCACCAGATTTGGCCCCTCCGCACTACCAGCATGGTTCATAAAAAGGAAACATCATAAACCAGGCACAGTGGCAGCAAAGGGAAGGTTAGGGGCTGAGGCCCCTGAGAGACCATCTGGGCCACCTCCCCTGCCATCCCTCACAGATGAGAAACAGACAGGAGAGGAGGGATGGCTTTGCCCAATGTCACTGGAACTCATGGGGCCAAACTTCCCCAAGAGGAAGCTTGAGCAAGAACGATCTTCCCCACCTACAGATGGGAGGCCCAGCCAGAGAGGAAGGGACAGGTCCAGGTCATGCAGTGGGTGGTAGCCACCCCAGACACTGCTACCCCCAGCTCTGGCTCACTGAAGCACTTACAGGATTTCCTCCAGGGCTGGGCAGAGCATGAAGCTGGCAGCAAGTTCTTTGGCAGTCTGGTTGTCAATTTCACAGGAACCCAGGCTGGGATGAAGAAGGGAATGGAATGAGGGGGCTGTGGGAGTCAGGGGCCACCTTTAGGAGGCCCCCTTTTCCCTCTGAAGGCAAGAAGGAGTAGAGCAGCCAGGCCTGGGGCAGGTGCCCCAGGAAAGTGCCCATCTCCTGCCCCACACTCAGGCCTTTGTCACTTCAAAGGGCCTCCTAGGTGTCAGGGAGAAGGACTGCACCTGCCCACCTCAGGGCCCCAGGACAGCTACTTACTCCAACCGTCTGAGCAGCGGGAGCCCCTTGCAGAAACGTGGGACCCCATTGGCCAGCTTATTCTCTGCCAGGCTGTGAGGCAGGGGAGATATCTGTGAGATGAGCCCCAAGCCTTCTCTGTCCTGTCCCTCTGCCCAGGCCAGGCACCCCCTACTCACCTAATATCTTCCATATGTGGGCACCCATCCAAGGCCCGGCCCAGGCTCAGTGCCCCCTCTGGGCCCAGACGGCTAGACTGCAGGCTGGGGAGAGGGGACGGGCTGAGAGAAGACTGGAGACCAGCTGTGTGCCACCCTTGTCTCTGGCTACAGTAGCAGCCTTAGCTGGTCTCTACGTAACTGCCACCCAGAGTGCTGGCTTTGGGTCTGAGCTCCCAAGTTCAAGGCTGCCTTCTTAGTGTATTAGGAAGGTTTACTCTCCACACCTCTCCAGGCATTCAGTCCCTTCTTGGCCGATGGAGCACATAAAAACACCAGCCCCATGGGGCTGCATGAGGCTCAGATGAGGCCATGAACTTGAACTACAAAGCGCTGAGGCCATGCTGCCTATTGTTTTGCTCCCACACAGCCCTTTCTTTGCTTATTCACCCTTAGACTGACTCACAGGGCAAGCTGAGCTGTCCTGAGTACAGGAGAAAACTTAGGCTCAACAGGGGCAGGAGCTTAATCAAAGGCTCACAGGTGGCTGGTGGCAGCGCCAGGACTAGGCTGGGTGTCCAGAGTTCCCTGTCTGGACATCAGACATCACAGGGAGTAGCAGGCAGGAAAGGTCCCTTCCCACACTTTGAGGTCAGGCAGGGCTGCTCAACCCGCGAGGACCCTGACACCAACTGCTCCTGAGGCCTCCCCGCTCCTTTGCATATACCTCGGGCAAGGGAACACTCACTGTAGGACCCTTAGGTGCTGGGGCAGCCCTTGAGCCAGTGTCAGGGTTGTGGGATCCCCCAAGGCATTGCAGCCGAGCCTGAAGGAGAAGGAGAGGATGGGAGGGGAATATGGAGCACAGGTAGCCTGCTCCGGGCCCCTGCCCTGCCCCTGAGGGAGAGGACAAGCAGGGGCCTGTGGGGACCTCCAGCTGGGAAGACACTCACCTAATCTCCTCCAGGTCCCCGCAAAGAGTGAGAGACTCCGCCAGCTGCAGTCCCCCAGCTAGGCTGATGCCATTTGCTGAGAGGCTGTGAGAGAGGTGGTCATCAGATCCTTTGACTCCCTGTGCAGCCCCCTCATCTGCAGGGACACCAGGGGCAAGCCCCCTCCTCACCCACCTTCGCAGTGTGGTGGAACAGAAGGACCCAGGAAGGGGACAGGTGGGTTAAGGACACACAGCCAGAGCCAGGAGGTCACCAGCCCCACTGTCTGGGCTTGGAGGCCAGGGGAAGGAGGCTTGCCAGTGTCTCCCCGGAGCACAGTGTGGCCACAGGGGGCCGCTGTCAGCAACCGGACCACTCACTCTATTTTCCTGAGCCTGGGCAGCCCCGGCAGGATAGCAGCTAAGTGCTGGGCACCAGCATCTCCAATCTGGATGTGGCTCAAGCTTGAGAAGAGAAGAGCAAGAGAACCAGAACCATCAGCCTGCTACTATCTAACCTTGTCTAACCTAGTCCTGGAACACAGGAGGAGGCTCGTGGCCAGAGAAAGAGCCTGGGAGGGAGGGAGGGGCACAGGGAGAGGGGCCAGCACCCTGTGTTGGGTGAAGACTCCCAAGTTTTTTGCTTCTGTCAAGATGTTCTTCTTGTTGTCTGATCTAAATACCTCTTGCTGCAATGGACTCTCTTACATGCTATCTTTGGGTCTCAGAGGTTCTTGGCCTTGGGCTTGGTAATGCAATGTGGAAATGAGTGAAAAGGATGAGAGAAAAAGCAAAGAGCCTACTTGAGCAGTCCCTTACTTTCATCATCTTTCCTGCCAAAGTTGTCATGGGGCTGGGGGAAGGGCAGCTATCGCACTCCAGTTTCACCAAGCTGGTGGCAGCTCTGAGAGCCTCAGGAAGTTGACAGCAACTAATGTTATCAACATTACCTGTTTGGCCTGCAGAAGGCCTTAGTCAAGAGCTTAAAGTACCTTTTTAGTACTGTGCACAAAATCCTACAGTTTTCAAAACCTACATACTCATATTCTGCCCGCATGACTTCCGGGGGCAGTGAGCAGAGTGGGAATGACTGTATCCACGATCCAGGTCAAACTGAGGCTCAGAAATGATTGCGACCGGCTGATGACTCACAGTGACTCTCAGGCAAGGTGGACATGGATCCCAGAGCCCAGGGAACATTCTCTACATGTTTCAGCATTGCCAGGTTCTGCTGTGGCTGCTGGGGCTGGGTGGGTGGGGTTTGAATGCTAATTCCATATGGGTTCCACACTGAGGCCAGGCCGCTCTCCAGGGCTTAGGAGCTCCCATCTCCACAGATGGGAGGCTTCTCCTTGACTTGGCTGAGTGGCTCTTGGGCACCCTGACCTTTCCCTGCTCCCATAAGTGGGCAGAAAGAACCTAAGTAAAATGGTCAGGCTACTGGCTCAGCCCTTTGCTAACGATTTGTCTGAGGGTTGTTTCTTTTGCAAAGTAAACGCTGATGAACTGTCTTCTGGTGACTTTTGGGTGACATGGCTGGTCCTGTATGCCACATCCTCTGATCTCTAACCTCAATGTCCCACTCTCCTAAGCTGCTGGAGTCTGGGAAGGGGCTCAGCTAAAATAAGAGCAAAGCTTTATGTCATTGCTTGGATTTTAGCTATGGCATTTTTTTTCTGTACTGAGGATCAAACTCAGGCCCTTGCACTTGCGAGCCAGGCAGCAGCACCATCTAGCTAAAGCCCTGGACCTGGTATTTCATATTAAAAAACAAAAATAAATCAAGCCATGTGTGGTGGTACAGTTTTGTAATTCCAGCTATTTGGGAGGCTAAGGCAAGAGGATTGCAAGTTTGAGGTTAGCTGGGGCAATTTAATGATACCTTGTCTCAAAATAAAATTTGAGCTGGGCATGATGGTGCCTGCCTATAATCCCAGCACTCAGGGGTCCAAGACAGGAAGAACTGCTGCAAGTTCGAGACCAGCGTGGGCTACATAGAGAGTTCAAGGCCAGCCTGAACTACATAGTGAGACCCTGTCTCAAAACAAAACAAAACAAAAAACCCCAAAATAAAAATGGATGTAGCTCAGTGCTCTCTGGGTTCAGTCCCTAGTATGGCAAAAATAAAAAAGAAAACGCATATTTACAAAGAATGTGCTACTTGTTTATGAAAGTGGGCAGGGAATGGAAACCACAGGGAGGAGGTCTGTGGATTCCACATTCTCACTTTAACAAAAACTTAAGGAGAACAGTGTGCACCACAAGCATTGCTCTGGGACTTGGTCACTTTGTGACAGGATGGAGCTGTTGGCAACAGAAGGCTAGAGCAGTGGGTACCACCCCTGGAATTTCCCTGGGAAGGAGGAGGAAGGAGGTGCCCCAGTGCTTCTTGGGGCAGCATCTCAACAAAGCCGGCGAGTGTGTCCTCCCACTTGTTCCCACGGGGTCACTTGGTCACTCACCAGAGGTGCTGCAGGAGGCTCATGTGGCTTAGTCCCCGAGTAAGCATGGCCGGAGTGGAGCCGCCCAGTGGAAGGTGACTGAGGCTGGAGGAGAGAGGGCCACATGAGCCTGGCGTTGCTGTACATGTGTGGGGTCCTCCAGGTGTAAAGCATTCGAGGCTTCTGTGCTTAGCATGTCCAGGGACCTCGAAGACAGCTCCTTACATCCACACCATGCAAACTGTGCAAAACACACTGCACTGGGAAACACATGTCGCTTCTGTGCATGGCTCATGGGAGTCACCAAGGCAGAGGTTCTGCTTTTGAGCCTCCTGAAACTCAAACTGATCATGGGTAACACTGGTGAACCATGTCAAGCATATACTAGAGCCAAGACGCTGGAGTTGGGACATCTTGAAAGGTGGCTCTCACTATCACTGAGGAGGAGCACTGAGACTCAGAGTGAGATGACAAGCTTACTGTCTTCAAGAACAGAACCCAGGACTGCAGGACACCCAGCCTTGTGCTACCCTCGGGCTCGTGAGCTGTAAAGCCCCCAGTGTGGGCAGGAGGGGGAGATAACAATGAAGGGTCTGCTCGAGCACTTACGGCGTACTGTCTCACTTCTTCCTCACAACGTCCCCAGGAAGACAGGCTGCTATTATCCTCAAAGTGAAGAGAGGAGTCTGTGCACAGAGAGGCTTAGGAACTTAGCCAAACTCACATATAAGAGGTGGAAACGAGAGGCGACCCACTCTCCGGGTTTGCCTAGAAGTGGGAGTTTTCTAGGACATGCAACTTTTGGTGCTAAAAGCCAGACAACCCTATAAACCAGAAGAGCTCCTCCTATCAAGAGCTGACCGTAGATGGTTTGTCTCCTAACCAGGGTCCATACTCTCAACCACCCTGCTGCAGATGGAAGAAGCAGCTGGGATTTTAAAAAATGTAGTACAGGCTGGATTTGAACTCATTACCATCCTCCAGCCTCAGCCTTCCAAATGCTGGGGTTGCTGGTGTGCACTACCATGCCCCGCTGTAGCTTCTGGATCTGAGGGTAGTAGCCCATGTCTGGAAATACTCAGAAATCTGGACTGGAAGAGGCCCCTGGGTACAGAGAATAAATCCCCTTCTTTCGGACAGGAAAGGCATCACTGTACCCACTTTATAGACAGGGTAACTGAGGCAGCAGGAGGCAAGAAGCAGCACTGGGCCTGGGAAGCCAGAAGACGCAAGGCTCCCAGGAGGCCATCCTATTCCCTGTGGTACCACCAGCCCCAGCCCTGACTCGTGTGCCCTGTCTGCTCACATTTGTCAAATGCACGAATGAGCCAGTGATGGCGCTACTGGGCCTCCAACCCCTAAATCAAGCTTCTGAGTCGGGTGGAGGGCAAAGGCACACGAAGAAGGCCAAAGCAACAGCTCCCTGGGACATGGAGGAGGGGGCTTGTGGTCCAAGGTCTCCCTGACCCTGCCTTTCCTTCCTGACCTTCCCCCAGGACAAGCACAGGGGGACAGAATGGGGGCATTTCGTTGCTATGGGGGAAAAGTCAAATGGCTACTTTGAAACTACTTTGAAAACACAAGTAGAGAAAATTCTGGAGAAAACGTCACAAATGAGTTGCCAAAAGTTTTTTCAAGGAATGTGATCCTTTGGGGATTTCATGGTCTTTGTTACATATTTCTATAATGAGAGAACTTGGTATATCTTTGGTCATTCAAAAAACTGAGACATTAGAAGCAGAAAATGCTGGGTTTTGTTGTTGTTGTTGTTGTTTTGTTTTGTCTAGATATCATCTAAACAGGAATCTATGGAATGGGGCTTGTCTTTTAGATAGAGGCTGTTGGTGGCATGTCTAAGAATTTGATAACTCCAAATTATAGGGAAAAAAGAGTTGCTGGTTACTAAGGAAATAGCTATAGACAAAAGGCAGTGGATATCTGTGGGATTTTCTGCCAGCGTTGGTTTCCCCTCTTCTGTTAATAGCACCACGTGACCCATATCCGGCCAATGAGTATGTTTTGTCCTCAGAGCCACCATGATTGGGTAATGGGTGAATATGTGACCCAGGCTAGTCTAATGGGACTCAATCTGTTGTAGCTACAGGGAGGCAGGTGCTCCCCTTCCACTAAGCCTGTGACTATGGGACAACTTTCCCGAAAAGAAAAGTTAAGAGGGAGGGAGGAATGGAGGGATGGGGGTGGGGGTGGGGAGAGAGAGCAAGGGAGGGAGAGAGATCCCGTATTTAACCCCTATATGCAGCCATGTCTGAAGTCAAGTGCTTGTGTTTTTCCATGGCATAAACCAATAAACTCTTGGCTTGGGTTGACTGCAGTTGGGCATTCTGTTTTCAGTGACCAGACATCCTGATGACCCTCAGAGCCAGGTAAGGAAGAAAAAGGTCTGGGAGGGCATTCAACTCACCTAGGTTCATCCAGGTGCTTGACAATTTTGTGTTCAAGACATGCAAAGCTCCTGGGCATAGTTTCCAGGCCCCTCCCCATTAACCGCCAGAACCACTTTATCTATTAACCATCCCCACACCCCCATTACCTCATCGCCACCACTTACCGGAGTGTCTTCAGCCTGCACTTCCCCTTGAGGGCCCCCATCAGTACCTCTGCAGCCTGCTCACCAAACTGATTGTTGGAGAAGCTGGAGGGGACGAAGCAGAGGCGAGGGTTAGATAAGCCCGGCATTCCCCAATGCCACAGCCAGCCAAGGCAGAGCTAGGATCAGGAACCCCCTTCTAACAGAGGTGGAAAATAGTCCAGAGTAGAAGAGTGATCTGGATGGAGACACTTGGGGCCAACGGTAATGTCCAGACCAAGAACACAGTGCTCAGCCTTATGGGGGCCACAGCCAGAACTGCTGGACTGCGTCAGGTGAATGCCACAGGCAGAAGTCTCTCTGCCAACCTACCAGCGGTCCAGGTGTCCTCTCCACCCCCTGCTCTGGGATGGACCATCCCTTCTGGGGTCCCCACACTGTGAAACTCACTCCAGCTCCTCCAGGTGGTGGCAGTGGCCCAGTCCAGATGCCAGGTGGGTGAGGCCCTGGGTGCTCACACAGCTGGAGGTCAGCCTGGTGGGGATGAAAGGGCAGCAGGTGAAGCCGGAGTCCTGGGTCTCAGAGCCCTGAGAGCTGATGGCAGAGGGTGGGGGTGTGGTTTCTGGGGACAGTGGGTAGGGTATGCTTTGTCTCATAAATCTCCCCGACATGGGCTCACTGAGCCAAGATGTAGTTGGAGGCAGGAGCCTAGACTGTCACTCAGGGAGCAACTTCACAGCCTACACCACATTAGGTCAAAGATCTGTTGGCCCCAGAGTTTCTTCTTGATGCAACCAGTCACATTGGAAGAAAACTGAAAGTTAGGTTCCATTTGTTCAACTGTTATATTGATAATTTATTCAGGTGAGAATTTCCAATGGGTGTTAAAGTCACGAGTGAAAGTTTGAGGAAGAACAGGACTTTTAGTCTTAAACTACCTCCCACAAGACATGTATTAATTAAAAGGGAAAATAGTAACTTTGCAAGAGAAGGAGTCTGGCAGACGCCACCAACTCCAGGTGGCATAGTTAGCATGCCCAGCAAGGGGACACACAGACACTGCAGGCCCCTGTGGGAGGCACTGAGAACACAGCATGGCTTGTGTCACAGTTCTGCCCAAAATGCAGGCTCTAAAGCTAAGTATCAGGAGTCACTGGAAAAACTCAAATTGAAGGATTGTCTGCAAAACAACCGACCTGTAAATCTTAGAGACAATGTCACGGAAAGACAAAGAAGGCCTGCGAACTGTTCAGATTGAAGGGGACTAAAGAGTGGTGACAATAAATCAGCTTGTGATCCTGGGTTGGCCCCAGGACAGGAAGAACAAAACAAAGCCCAAAGAGCAGGAAGTAAACACTGCTGATAAAAGTGGTGGGAGCGAACTATGAACCAATGTTAATTTTCCTGAATTGTATAATTTTACTGGGTGATACAAGAGAATGGCTTTTTTCTTAGGAAATTTACTGAAATATTACGGGCTAAGTGGGGCATGATTGTGCAGCTCACTCTCAAATGGTTCCAGCATGGGGGGAGATGGAGGGAGAGAAAGAAGAGGAGGAGGAGGGAGAAGAGGAGAGGGAGGAAGGTGGGAAGAAATGAATAAGTGTGGGGAAACATTGACAATGTGGAATTTGGGTAAATAGTGTATGGAAATTCTCAGTCTTGCAACATTTTATTTGCAATAATTTTTTTAAAAGGAAGAAAAAAAATGAAAGGCGAAAGAAGGGACTGAGCTTTGAAAATGGAGTAACGTTCTTGTCATGTGGCACCATATCCATGACCCTGTCCCTCTGCCTCATCTCCAGGACCCCTGTGGCGCCTGCCCACAGCGGGGGACACAGAGTCCTCTGGCACAAGGCTTGGGACAGAGAGGTGTGGTGCAGGTCAGAGGCACTGGGTGCTGAGTGAAAGTCTGGTATGCATACCGGAAGGTCTTCAGCTCACAGAGGGACAGCAGGAGGCTCTGCAGCAGCAGGGAGGTGGCATCACTGGCATCACAGAGGTTTACCTGGGACAGGCTGAAAGGCCCGAGAAAATTCCAGAGGATGGGAGGCTGGACACTGTGGGACTCATCACATACACACAGGGAGGGAGGGAGGGGCCGCCCAGGAGCTCCCTGCCCACACGGGGCAAAGAATGACACAAGCTCTTTTGCACAGGGAGTGAGGACACCCGGGCACATGTGGCCTGGACTGTGCACTGGGGTCAACAGAGAACCCAGGGCCTGGGACAGTGTTTCCAGGAGCTGACCTGAGCTGCTGCAGCTGGGCGCATGTCTCCATCAGCTGTCTGACAAGAAGGCTGTGGTGGGTCACAAGGTCACAGTGAGCCGACCTGGAGACAGACAGGGAGGTGGCAGTTTTGGAGCACATGGTCTAATATGAGCGCTTCAATCCCTGCCTTCAAGGAGCCTAGGGTACGGGGTATATAAGTTACCCACAATTTGCTATTCAGTTAAAAGCAGTGCTGTAAAGGAGGGGTCCAGATGGGGCAGCTGGTATGGCTGTGCATGTTTTTCACTGCACAAGGGAGTATACCCAAAGGGGTGAACTGGACTGAGACCCAGCCAGGCTGAACTCCCTAGAATATTTACATACAGAATCCACTCAAGAGGTGACGTTTTAATTTCCCAAAGTGTGCTATAGGAATTGGAGGTGCTATGCACCCAGGCACTGATGAGAGTGAATTAAAGGAAGATTTGACTAAGTGTTGGGGATCAGTGAGCCTCCTCAAGACAGAGGCATTTAAACTGAGACTTGAAGGATAGAGAAGTATAGCCATTGAAAGAATACAGAAGAAGTATAGCTGGGCAGAGGAAAGAGCCTGTGCAAAGGCCCTGAGATCAAAGAGAGCAAGATGCTGTTCAAAGAACCGAAAGCTGGTATGGAGATTACTGACCAGGGTTTGGGGTTGGGGTGGAGAAGGTGGGCAGCAGACCTCACAGGCCACGGAAATGCTGAACGTGAAAAGACTCTGAGCAGAGGCATGAGAAATATTGGTCAGAAATAGCCATGTACCCTCCCTGCCACCAGCCATTCCCACCTCAGGGCCACGGCCTCTGGGTTTTCTTCCTGACGAGGAAATCGCAGCTGGACACAGAGCTGCTGCTGGGTCTCAGAGATGCTGAGGAGGGAGAGAGGTGCTGGTGAGACCCGCTGCAGCTTTCTCCCCCGAGCCTGTGTCTCTGAGCTCCAGCCCCTCTTCTTGGGTCTGACTCAGCTGGGATGGGGGTGGGAAAGCAGTTGCTTCTTTGAATCACATACACCAAAAATGGTACCTTTCAACAATTTAAAGTGACAAAGCTGAGGCTTTCCAGACCATGGCAGCAAGCTACTGCAGGCACCCAAGGGCTGATCTGAAACATTCTGAGGGATGTGCTCAAGGGCCACAGAGGGGTCAGGCACAGGGCTCCTCAGCAGGCTGCATTTGTACTCTGAGCTCTCTGGCTTTTCCTGAAGGTCAGGTTCACTGGAGTGGGGCTGAGGGAGTTGTTAAACTATCCCCAGGGCCTTCCCAGGCGCCCCCTGGGGAACAGCACGTCTCAGGCCAGTAGGCCCTGAGTCTGGATCAGACGACCAGGGTCAGGGAGGCCAAAGCCTTGCTCTCACCTACTCCATTTCATCCTGTCATCACAGGTCACAAAGCCACAGTGTGTGTGGCAGGGGCCACTTCCAAACAACCAGCATAGGCTCCCAGCTAAGGCTTCCCGGACCCACAGCCCTTTGTCTTGAATCTGGTGCTGCCCTTCTCTGCTTGACCCTGAAATCCCAGCAAATGTGTGTAGCACCCTCCTGTGTGCCCCAGGAAGTCCTGCCATCTTGGGGACACAGAGAGCTCACCAGTGATACAGCTGTTACCTCATAGGACAAAAGACCAACGGAAGGTCCCAAAGGTCATGAGAGAATGAATGAAAAGTTCCAAGGGGTCCTCCTCCCTGGACTCACCTTATGACAGTGACACTGCCTGAGGCCTGGGCACAGACTTCTAGCAGGGCAGGCACCCCGGCTCCCCCGACCCATGGCTCCTCCACCCTGTCACGGAAAGTGGCACACAGACAAGGTGGCTCCCCTGGCAGCATTCAGCACCGTGGGGGAAGGTGACTGCCTGGAGAGACTGGAGGCTTTTCGGCCTATTTTAAAACTATAAAATTAGACAATAGGGCACAAGCATAAAAGGGGAAACTTACTTCATCCTTAGTTCAAGAATCATTTTGCAATAACCCAAATGAAAAAAAATTTTTAAAAACAATATTGTTAGATTTCAGAAAAGACCCATAGCCAAGATAAGAAAACCAAACTACATAAAATATGATCTGTTTTGTATTTTGAAAAGGGCCAAAAAAAAAAAAAAAGAAAGATGGAGACAAGGGATATAAGGAAAATATATTAAGTGCATGTGCATTAATTTAGAAGCAGGATAAAAAAGAGGTGTTTAAAATATTCATAGTTCAAGATTTTGTTGGATTATTTCTTTTTAAATATCATTTTTCTGCTTAAATATCATTTCTTCTTCTTTATGTTCTTCTGGGTTTTTCACAAATTTCTACAATGAGGACCTATTGCTTTTCGGCCTAGAAAAAGTTTCATTTTAAAACGTTGTTTTGGGTGATCCAGCAATTCTGGGTAAATATCCCAAAGAATCGAAAGCAGAGGCACAGGAACATACTCGAACACTTGTGTTCACAGCAGTGTCACTCAGGAGGCCAAAATGTAGAGGCAACTCCAGGTCCATCAAAGATGGATAAGCAAGCTGTGGAAGGAGATTCAGGCTCGTGCCAGCCACGGGTGAGCGTTGGTGACATCATGTTAAGTGCTACGAGCCTGACACCAGAGGACAAATACCGCGTGTCTCCACTTACACATGATGTCTAAAGTACTCAGACGGTAGCGGGTGGCCGCCAGGGGCTGGGGAAATGGAAAGCAAGGACTTGTGGTATATTTTCAGTTTTGCAAGATGAAGAGATCAGAAGATCGGCAGCATAACATGTGAATGTACTTAGCACTACTGAGCTGTCCATGTAAAAACGGTCAGGAGGGTGAATGCTGTTATGTGTATTTTACCATAATTTATAATGTGATGGGGGGAACAATGAGATCCCCTGGTCTCAACATGGCCATTGGTAAGCCATGCACAGCACTGTCCAAGAAGTCAGTTTTGGGGGTACAGATATGTAAATTCATCTTATCAAGACTTGAGGCCCAGCCGGGTGATCTGCCGTGCAGGGACCACAGACCAACAGAGCCTGAAGAGACAGTCCCAGCCCTTGCAAACACGGACCCTGCCTGCATCCTGGACCTGTCTGAGGGACAGTGGAGACATTTTAGATTAGACTAGGCAATGTGCGGCACTAAGGAATCGTTACTGAGTTTCTCAGGTATCCTAATTAAACTGATTACGTAGAAAATGTACTTCCTTTTTAGTGATTCATGGTGAAATATTTAGGAGTGAGATTTTATGAGGTCTATAATTTGTTTTAAAATACTTTAGCCAAAAGAGAAAAATAGGAAGCAAACATGGAAAATATGAGCAACTGTCAAATCTAGGTAATGGGATCTGAGTTTTAATATATTATTCTCTCTACTTTCAGCATGCTTTTTTCTTGAATCTTTTAAAATTACGGTGAACAAACATTTTTTTTTTGGTAGCTCAAACCCAAAGCCTTTGAACTGAATTACATGCTCAGCAGTTTTAAAATTGTTTCTGTTTATCTATTTATTTATCCATCTGCTGGCCCACCTATTTTTAAGACAAGATCTTGCAAAGTTGCTAAATTGCCCAGGTTAGACTGAAACTTGCAATCCTCCTGTCTCAGCCTCCCAGAGTGCTGAGATTATAGTTGTACATCACCACACCTGGCTATCATATTTATTTTATGTAATTTTTCTCCTTGGGTGGGTATTCCTTTGGGAACTTTCTTTTATTTCCTAAACCCCAAAGGACAGACCCCATCATTGTTGAGGAACTGCTCTTCTGAATGCCTGGGGGTGACTCTGGGACAGCTAGGCAGGGTCTGCTCTGTGTCCAGGAGGTGGGGCTCTGGGTATGGGAAATGGTCAAGGCTGCGATTCAGGGGTCCCTGTCCTCCAGTACCCATCCAGCCAGAATTCATGCCACGGCCTCTCCCAGAGGCAGGAGGAAGATACCTGAGTCCAAGGAAGCCCGATGGCCGCCTCAGCAGGCTCAGAAGGATGGTCAGCTGCTCCAGGTCCAAGCAACACCGGGTTAGCCTGGGGACAGCACAGTCACAGGTGTGGCCTGCAGCGTGTCCCACCTTTCAGCTGTCTCCATGGACTGTGCCCATCACTTACGTGAGCTCTGTCAGCTGGAGGGCCTGGCTGAGGCTGCTGGCCAGTCTGGAAATGTGCTCTGGCCTGAAGCTGCACTCGCTCAGCCTGAGGGCAGAAGGCCAGAGGCAGACCTAGTGAGTCCCATGTAGGCCGCTGGCCTGGCTTCCTCCCAGAATTCCTTGGGACCTGCTTGGTGGGGGCACTGAGGGCAGAGGCCAATGTCTCAGCCTGCCTTGGAGTCTCCTGGCTGTTTTTTGAGTGCCCCAGGTCCTCCAAGAAAGTTCTAGGAGCTACTTGTGGAGCCAGCCCTTCACCCAGCACTGCACCAGCTCCCCGATGGCCAGGGGCACCTGCTTACACACAGTGTCTCATTTAATTCTCACAGCACCATTTAGAGCCCAAGGACACACAACTAGCAAGACACAGGGCAGACAGGACAGCCCAGTGCCACACAGCCCTGCTTGGAGGCTTCCAGGAAGGGCTGACATCGAGCTGGGACTCAGAGGGTTGGGGGGATTTTCTCTCAGAAAGGGCCCGGTGTGAGCAGAGGTGCTGTCTGGGCTGCATTTGGGCAGAGAGCAAAGAATCCCATGGCTGCGGCGCTGCGTGTGGCATGGTACATGTGGCACGTGTATGTGTACACGGGTGTATGTGAGTGTGTATGGGAGCACATATGTGCTGTGTGTGTGAGCACTGTGAGTGTATCTGTAGTGTATGTGTGTGCGGTATCACATGTGTACCCATGTGTGCTATGTAGGCGGTGTCATTGTGGTGTTGGGGGTGGGAGGTGATCAGACTGTGAGGGACAAGATTGGGCTAAGAAGTCTGGACTTTATCGTGCGGGCCCTGGGGCCCTGAAGAGCAGAGTGCAGCTTGCTGTAGTCAGGCATGTGCTCGGAGGGTGCTGTGGGCACCGTAGGCAAAGAGACTGGAGGAGGCCCTGCCAGAAGCAAAGGGACCAGTTTGGAGGCCGAGTTCACAGCTAAAGTACGACCTGCAGGGGAACTGGCCAGGCAGGGATGGTGAGGCTCTCCAGCAAGCCAGGTCTCTCTGCTTCGTGCCTATGAACTTGCTTAATCCTTGCAATCACCGTAAGGGCAGGATGTGCTATGATCCCTAGTACACAGACGAGGAGCTGAAACAGAGGGGTTCTGTAACTCATCCAGGGTCACGGCTCCAGTGTGGCAGGCTAAGATTTATTCCCAGGAAGCACGGGAATCTTGGGCAAGAGCTTCAGACTCAAGCTGTCCTTGGGAAGTGGCTAATAGGTACGCATACAATGCAAAGGCCTTGCCCAAGACTGTGGGCTTGGGGGCATTGCGTAAGGCCCGGGGGACCAACCCCAGGCAGTGAGCTTGGAGCAGGCAGTGGTGGAGGAGGAGTAGGTGGAAGGGCAGGGGTACGAGGTGCCATAGGTCAGCCTCCACTCCCCTTCTCTCTCCCGCTCATTGCCCCACCAGGAATTACCTCAGGGTCATCTCAGCCTCCTGCTTGGAGAAGCGAACCCAGAAGATCTGCGTGGAGCCCAGGCTACAGAGAGGAGAAGAGAGCCAGGAAGTTTGTCCACACTACTCTGTAAGGATGGGAAGACCTGGCTTTCCCACCCTGTGGCACCCGGGCACAAGAGGACAGCCTGTGATCCCCTGCCCAGGGAAGCCCGAGACTCAGAGAGTGGTGAGTTGCCCCAAGTCACACAGATAGATGGCAAAGCGTGGCCACCAATCAGCCAGTCCTTACTTCACAGAGGCCTCCTGGGCACGCAGGCAGGAGGGCAGAGTTCCCAGCAGGTGCAGGACACCTTCCTGAGAGATGCTGTTGTGACTCAGACTAGGAGAGAGATGAGACTTAGGATGGCGCAGCCCAGCCCCCTTGTCTCCCCTCCAGCTGTCATTTCCCGGAAGTGAGGCCTCTGTGTCCACTCACTCCATTCTCCAGGTGGAGACAGTGAGGCCCAGAGAGGGGCCCAGAAGGGACACTACCCCACACTGGCAGAGTAGCTGGAGCTGTCCTCACTGTGCCTGCTGCTGCCGCCCTGTGGCAGGGGCAGAGTGCTGATGGGGCCCTGCTGCCAGCTCCAGCCTCATATGGGTTGGGGACTCTCAAAGAACAGAGCTTGGTTGCCTAGCAACAGGTTGAATCCTGGCTCTGGCTGTCAGTCTCCCAAGTTGCTGGGGAGATCAGGTGAGAGTATGGATGATTTCCTGGGGACCCTTTCTTGCTGCAGGGTCATTTCCAAATTCCTGTCACATAGGGATGGGAGGAACCAGGAAGGAACCAGGCAACTACATTCCCACATTTGCTGGTTAAGGATGAAACATGGCTTCCCTGTCCCAGGGTCAGCTGGGTTGAAGCCATAGCCTCAGTTGAGTGTCTATCAAAGGATCCACCCATGGTGGGTATGAGGGAAGGAGGAAAGGACACAAGTGTGTGTAGGGGAAGTCCAGGTAGGAAGAGTCCTTTTCCTCCCAGAGCTTTGTCCCCTGGGGTTCTAAAGAGGTCCAGGGGAGGCTGCATCCCTCCCATCTCCAGGCTCTCCCCGCTTACTCAAGCAACTCAGAGATGGGCATCTGTGACAGGTGGCCTAGAAGGCACCTGAGCCCGTCATCACCCAGCTGGTTGTCTGTTAGGCTGTAAGAGATAAAGAGCAGTTGGCAGGGGTCAATGTGCCTCCTTGAGCTCTGCCTGCTCCTCATGGTCCCCACTTCTGGGTCCACTGTCACTGCTACTGACCACACCGTCACCATCCACCGTCCCCCCACCAGCACCACCAGTATCATCACCACTCAACACCACCGTGCCCCACCACATCCACCATCATTTCCGGCACCACTAGAATTGCCATCAGCTCCCACACTGCCCGCTGCTGTCCTCTGGCCAGCACACAGTAAGCCAGTCCCCATCTTCCCCTGCAATATCCGGTGGGCTCCCGGACTCCAGAAGGCTTTCTGGACTTAGAGAAAAACCATTTAGCTTTTCCCCTGCCCCTCACCTGTGTCAGTTGGGAGCCAGAATTTCTGAACCAGAATAAATTCAGGAAAAACATTTTTTTTTGAGAATGCATTTCCTCAACAGATTGATTTTTTTAATTTGGGAGTTCGACATCTATCAGAAACTGTATCCAAATACTTTCTGACTTCTCTTCCTTGTAGCATTCTGTGCTTTAGCTCCACTTTCAGAAAACCATATAACCAGTGTGCCCCCAAACATCTGAATTTCCTCCTACATCTTTGGTACTTTGGATGCTTATTTATTTTATCTTTTCCTGAGATGTTTCATTTAAAAAATTGCTTTGTCTCATAAAGCCATTTAATAAAATGACCTTTAAAATAAGAAAAAAAAAAATTCTTCTACAATGAAAAGCAGAAAAACTTGGAAACATATCATACGTCTCATTCATCTTTCTTTAAAATATATGATTTCATCAGCCACATTTCTCTTTTGGCCACAGTACAACTAGAATTTAAACTTTTTTCTTTCCTTTCCTCTTTCTACATCCCCCCTCTCTCTCTCCACCCTCTCTCTCCTTCTCCCTCTCTCCCGTTTCAGTATCTGTCTCTGTCTGTCTGTCCTTCCTTTCCATAGATAGCACCTTTATTTCCCAACTGTCCTAGGCTGTTTCCTAATACTTCTGAGTAAAGACTGCATTGCACTAGCTGTGTAACTTGAGGCAAATTCTTAAATTTTGTTTCCCAATGCCCTCATCTGTAAAATGGTGGCATAATAGTACCTAGGGTTGCTGGAATGATTCAATAGAACACAGGAAGCACTTAAAACAGCACAGCAAGTGTCCCTCAGGTGTTAGCTGTTAGGATGTTCCCACCCAGTAGGGCTTGTACTCTGGGCACCCAGGAGAGGCCATAGGGATAAAAGCCTCCCCCTGCCTGGCTGGGGTCCCTCCTCAGCTAGGTCATTTGGTATTTATGACCACCTTCCAGGCAAACCAATGGCTGTTCACTGTAGCGCCCATCTACCTGCAGAGCTCGGACCTGTGGAGCAACACAAGGCTGGGGCGGCCTGCAACCCTTTCTGAGGGGCTGCACAAGTTAGTGGGACAGGCATAAAAGCAGCTCTGCCGCTGTGGGAGTGGGTGGGAGCGGGAGAGAGAATGGCACAGAGAAGCCTGAGGGATGTGGCCAGAATTTCATGCTTGCCCTGACAGCTGGCCCTAGGGGTGGAGGTGGGCACACGAGAGTGCATGTGTGCACACAGACACACATATTCACGCCCCCCGCCCCCAGCCCTACCTAGGTACGTGCCCCCCCCCACTCACTCCAGCTGGCGGAGGTCATCACACTTGCTCAGTGCCCGGCACAGTGGCTCCACATGCTCCTGGCTGAGGCTGCAGCCTGTGAACCTGCAGGCATTGGGACGTGAACTGGGGAGGGGGTGTTCGGCTGCTCTGACCATCGCTGTCCTGACTGGTCCTGGGTGTGCCTCCTAGCTCAGGGAATCCCCACCCAAGCCGGAGTCTTCTCAAAATACCCAGCATTCACTGCTCCCACTCTCCAGCAGGTCCCACTTGGAACCTACCCTGGGGGTGACCCTCCCTGGGAGGGGGGTCAGTTCTCAAAGTGTGGTCCTCCCAAATTAAAAGCTGCATCCAAATACTTTCTGACTTCCCTTCCTTATAGCATTGCTACCACTTGGGAACTTGAGATGCAAATCCTGGGACCCCCCACAGAACTACTGAGTCAGAGGTTCTGGGGGATGGTCCTGTAGGTGATTCTGAATCAAGGTGGTTCACTTGTGCCCAAACCATGGGCTGCCAAGTCATGGTTTGGGGGGACTTACCCACAGCACACACCTTCCTGCTCCTCGCTGGACCTGAAGTGCAGTGTGGCATCGTGCAGAGACCTGGAGCGGAAAGTATCTGGGTCACGGGTGCTCCCCAGACCATGAGCCCTCCTCCAGGAGCCTGGCCTCTGGCCCAGGTCCTGTTGTCTTCATCCCTCTTTGCATCCCTCTGGCCTCCACGCCCAACCCTCTGAAACCCCTCCTGGTAGTGCTACAACAATGCCCACCTGAGATCCACCTTCCTAACCCGTGGGCACTGGCTGACGACGTTGGCCAGCAGGAAAGGGCTTTTCAGGGACAGTCCTGTCTGGCTCAGCCTGAGAAGGAAAGTGGCAGTGCATTCCAGATCAGGGACAAGAAATCAGGACAGGCTGCAGGGGGAGGAAGAGGAGGATGTGGAGGGCTGGCAGCTCGGCAGGGCAATGAGGAAGAAGGCAGTGATTCAAGAGGGACAAACAGGGGCTGGGAAAAAGCAGACTTAGGGTTGGGTCCTAGCTGTGCTTACTGGCTCTGTGACCTCAAGTACGCCATTTAACCTCTCTGAGCTTCAGTCTCCTGACCTGGAAAGAGGACTAGTCATGCTAAACCTTCCTGGCCAGTGTATGAGCATTTGCTTACACGAGTGGGTGTGATACCCATACTTGTTATGACAACTGATCATTGGACGGGCAAGCCCTTGATAGAGTGGGAAGCTTCAGGCACTGTGGGAAGAGTTTCTTGATGCGGTGCTATTGAGATGTGGAGTATGATCATTCTCTGCTGTGAGGGGCAGCTGTCCTTGCCCTGTGGAGTATTTGGCAGTGTGCAGACCTCTCATTAGAGACGTCCCCTGTACCTAGTTATGACACCAAAAATATCTCCATCTGTTGCCCAATGTTCCCCTGAGGGGCATAAGTACCCTCAGTTACAAACTGTAACAAAATGAGATGGGCCCATGCTGCCCTTGGAAGTGACCTCAGCATCCCCATAAACCTCCAACAGCTTGTCTCATTAGGCCTTCCCAAGACACATCCGTGTCCACCCACCCTCCCCACTGACTGTCAGCTCCTTCCCCTCTTACCTGGGCTCACACAGCACCTCCCTCCTCTCATTTCTCCTCTTATCCCAATACCCTCTCTATCCAGCAGTCGCACTGAACTTTACATATCTAAATTATTTCTCGGCCTTTCAAATTCCCCGGGACAAAGACCCAAGCTTCTCACCATGGCTATCAGGCTGGTGAGACCCATCCCTGGCCATCTCTCTACCTCCTGTCTCTCGGTCTCCTTGTCAGACACTGTGCTCAGGTCTCCATGGCCTTTGGGCTGTTTCTGGAGCCCACCAAGCTGAGCTGACTCAGAGCCTCCCGCAGGCTGTTCCCTGTGTCTGAATGCAGTTCCCTGCTCTTCCCATGGGGGCTCCTAGCATTTATCCTCAGGAAAGTCCCGGACCACTTCTGCCATCACTCCTCTCTCTCCAGCAACTCTCTTACCTCCCGGGAGAAACACCTTCCCATGGGCTGCATTCGCTGTATTTGATCTCACCCCTGCACTCCAAAGGTGCGCTCCATGGAGACAAGGAGCTCTGGTAAGTCCCCAGCACCCTGGACAGTGCCTGGCCCACAGAGCTGCACAGACACCTTGGGCTGAATATGCAAAGGTGAAGCCCTGGCAAGGGACAGGCTGGCCACCCCTTTCCAAAGACAGACAAGGAGCTAGGGATGGATGCTGTGTGATTTAGGTACACAGAAGCCCCATCTGATCTGGGGTTTCTTGTGTGTTCATTTTGTGACTAAATGAGCCCTTCCTGATCTGCCCTCTCCAACCAAGGTGGGGGCCATGGGTGGGCACACAAATGGTTCTGCACCTGCCCACCTCTGGCAGGTTGTCGCATCCGCTCCTTTCCTGTTGGACCCAAGATTAAGTGAGACCCTGGAGGTGATGTGAGCCAGCCCAGAACCCAAGAGCCCCAGCCTCAGCACTTACGGTGCTGTTATTAACGTTATGATTTAATTTCCTGTTGTATTTTTCCATCGCAGCTGCAGCTGCTTCCCCCCCGCTAGAAGAATATTTAAAGTAAATCCTTTCTAAATTCTAACCAGTCTGAGCTGAAATTAGAAAAGAGAGCTCTAAATACTTAGGGGGATGCTGCTTGAATCCTTCCACCTGACAGAGTTAGATGATGACCTTTAAAAAACAGTGTGTCACATATACATGACCCACATCTGTGCAGACCCTTTTTAGGGCTGGGTGATCTTTCCCTGGGTGAGAGAAGCATGACAGTTCGCTGGCCATGTTCCCTTCTTAAGAGCATCTTGAGCAACTGGTCTGTGTGAGGCCCAACCCCAGTGAAGGGTTGGGAGGTATTAATCCCATTTGTCAGATGAGGAAACTGAGACTCAGAGGGGACCAATAACTGCCTCTGAGGTTGACAAAGTACTAGGGAAGAGCTGGAGGCAAATTCGAGTCCCTAGTTGTGCCAGTGAGATGAAGTGTGTCTGGGACAAAGGGAGGGAAGAGGAGGAAGGCTTTGTGGGACAAGAGCCTCAGGGGCAGGGCATTGGGTGGGGTGGGGTGGGTGGAGGCAGGACCAGGACCATCCAGTCTTACTGCAGCAGGCGTAGTTGAGGAAGCCGGGGCAAGCAGTGCAGCAGGGTCTCCAGGCTCTGGTCACTCAGGGCCTTGCAGGACAATCTGTGAAAGAAAGTATCTGAATGAATGGCGAGATCGTCCAGAAAAACAGGGAGGCTGGCTTCACAGCCTGGAGCCTTTTGGAGATGGGGCCAAGCCATGTTGCCTGAAACACTCCCTTCCAACACTGGGTCCTTGAGTTAAACCATGGGCCTAGGAAAAGGGGAAGGCCAGATAAGTTCGGAAAAACTAGGTTCAGCTAAATGAAATCATTTTCTGTGCTGCAGGACTTCTCTGAGGATTGAATAGGCTGCCGTGTGTGGCAAATTCCCAGGGGAAAGGAGACTTTTCCCCAACTAAATGGATGAGTGGGATTATTATTGATGAAGATTAGTGCTCCGTATAACATGTTAATTAAGAAAAGAAGTCAGGCTAGCCAGGGATTTAGCTCAGTGGCACTGTGCCTGCCTTGCAAGTGCAAGGTCCTGACTTCAATCTCTGGTAGAAGAACAAAGAAGAAAGAAAGAAGGAAGGAAGGAAAGAAAGAAGAGAGAAGGAGGAGGAGGAGGAGGAGGAAGACAGCGGCGGCAGCGATGACGAAGGAGGAGAGGAGCCTTGGGTTTCTTGGGTTTCTGCTCTCTCTGCACACCTGGGACTTCATACAGCCCCTCCACAGGGGGATAAGAGCCACTTCCTTCTCCCAGAGCCTTGCTGCGTGGTCTCCTACCTTCTCCACCTTTGCCCTTCGCTGCCCTTCTTTCCTTATCCCTGTCCCTTTGCCCCCCTACAGGCTACCCCTTTCCCCACACTCTGGCTTCCGGCTGCCCCACCCATCTATCTCCACTGCTTGGTTGGGGAACAGGGATGCAGGATCCCAGCCTCAATTTTGGGGAGGATGGAGTGGGAGGAGCAGCCCAAGGTTCTAGAGCAGGGGCCCATGATGGCAACTCTCCCAGGGCCCAGCTGCAGGCTCAGCTCTGTCCTTTCAGCCTCAGGGCTATGGTGAGAGCCTGAGAAAAAGCCAGCCCTGGGATCTTCACCAAGGATGGTCTTTCCATAATACCTCTGGGATGGGGCTCCCTACCTGACCCCAAACACAGTCCTGTGGCCTCTGTTTGGGCAAAAACAGGGTTTGAGCACTTTTTTTTTTAAACAGTGGAAACTGTATTTATTATATCTCCTCACACAGTGCATACGAGGAACCTAGGCGAAGTGGAGCAACAGTGGTTGAATGCAACCCCCCTCTGTGGCCTCCCCGGAAAAATCCCAGGAACTAGTGAGCCAAGTGCTACACTTCTGGGTTAAGTACCTTAAAGAGTATTGATAACAGTAAGTGGTCACAGCACTCTACAGTTGGCAAAGTGCATTCATACTCATTATCCCACTTCTCCTAACAACAACTGAGACTCAGTAGTGCTTAGACCTCTGAAGCCTCTTCTGCCAAAGGTGAGCCCTGACCTACAGCATCCTGCCACTGTGTCCTGCAGGGCCTGGCCCATGGTGGGGATACAATAGCCGCTTAGCGGTTATCCAGGAAGAGCTTCTTGGAGTATTGCTGTAGGGCTCCTGGGAGTGGCCTGGACATCCTAGGGAGTGGGAGGAATCAGATGCACACCCACCGCGCTGTGGATGGACACAAGTGTCCACTGTAAAACATACCCAAGAGATGATTAAATTAAATATTGATGAGGAGGAGGGGGTGAAGGGAGGGCAGGGGTATGGGGAGAAAATGAGAACCAAGACTTGTCATGTTAAAGGTGCAAGATCCCAATGAGGAATGTAACTGTACTGTATCCCTAAAATGTACCAATTGCTTCAAAATAACTCACAGTAGCCAGGCACAGTGGCACACGCTTGTAATCCCAGCACTGTGAGAGGCTGAGGCAAGAGGACTGCAAGTTCAAGGCCAGCCTGGACAGTTAGGTGATTTAGTTAGATCCTGTCTCAAAATTTTAAAAAAGGGATGGAGATACAGCTCAGTGTGAAGGCCGTGGGTTCCATCACCAACAGTGGAAATAAGCAAATCAACAAACAGAACAAAAAGCCCTCAGAGTGCATGTGCGTGCGTGTGCATGTGTGTGTGTTGGGGCTATGAGGTGATAACTATTGAGGTAAGTGGAGGGTACTTGAGTGTCCTTTACACTTTTCTCACTATTATATATACACTTAAAATCTTCATAATAAAAGTGCTGTTTAAATTACAAAATAACTTTATAGTGGGGAATCTCGGCTAAACCTTGGCCAGGTGACAAAAGGTCACTATCAGCGCGCAGCCCTGAGAAGATGTGCTGAGAAGGCCACTTTGCCTCTGCGGTGTTGTTCCCCAAACCCATAATGCACTTTAACCAGGAGAAAAACATCAGACAAGTTCTAACTGAGGGACAGCTTGCAAAATATCTGACCAGTGCGCCACAAAATGGACCACCAGTGAAAGGAGGAGACTAAGGAACATGAGGCCTAAATGCAGTGTGGGGTCCCAGGTGAGACTGGATGGATAGAGGCAGAACAGGCATTAGTGGAAAGACTGGCAAAGGTGAAGTTAGTCATGTGTCAAGGCTGGTTTCATCATTGTGACAAATGCAGTGTACGATGTTGACAAAAAGGGAATGAATGTGTGTCCAGTGTTTCTTTTTTATTCCCCTGTCCTGTGGATCAAACTCAGGACCTTGCACTTGTGAGGCAGGCACAGTGCCACTGAGCTAAATCCCCAACTCCAACTCTCCTGTAAGTAAAATATAAAACCATTCTAAGGTAGCTTGTTTAGAAAATGAATTAGAGCTGGATGTGGTGGTGCACGCCTGTAATACCAGCCACTTGGGGGCTGACCCACGTGTGAGGTCAGCTTGGGCAACTTCATGAGACCCATACAGAAAAAAAAGAAAAAAAAAGAATCAGGCCCATATAGCTTGTTCTTCAGGGAAACTGTGTTCTACAGTTTGGAAAAAAGAGCTAGTTGCAGAGAGATCTTGCAGTGTAAGATCCTTTGTCAAAAAATGCGAAAACCCCACTTCCCTGACCACGTGTCCAGATACAGAGAAAAGCATAGGAAGGACACCGGGGGCTCAGCACAGATCATCTTGTTAGAAAAGGTGGAAAGGCATGTGAGATAGAGCCAGAAAGAACAACATTGGAGGAAAATGGAAAAACACATGTGGAGTGACGTAAGTGAAATTGTGGACTGCAAATAAATGTTAAACATCCGTAACCTGAAAATCCAAAATCCAAAGTTTGTTGAGCATTGAAACAATACCAGAAGGGGGAAATTCCTGGCTGCATGTGCGGGATTGGCAGTCAAAATGCAGCCACACTAAAAATGTATAAAATGACCTTCAGCCCACATGCACAAGGTGTATACAAAGCAAATTAATTTTTTGTTTAGACTTGGGTCTCATCCTCACTGTTTCATTATGGATATGCAAATATCCTAAAATCTGAAAAAACATCCCAGATCCAAAGCAGTTCATGACCCCATGCATTTTGCATAAGGTATGTTCAACCTGTAGGAAAAAACAGAATATGCTATTGGGCAAGAAGCAGAAAGTCAGCTGGACAAAGGGGTTGTCAGAGAAAGGGGTTGTTTGGTGAGGCAGGCTTCGGCTTGGAGTTGTTTTAAGGTGATCATTGTAATAAAATTACAACAGTAATAATCAATGAGAAGTGACCATACATTTGAAGGAATTTGAAGCCCAGGAAGTTAAAGTCATTTGCCCAAAGTCACCCAGCTTGTAGGTTGCTGAGCCAAGACTCCTGATTGTAAGCCTAGTCTTTGGTCGTGGCCTAAGTGTTCTGGGTATGTGTGGGGTTGGGAGAAGGGGAGACCCCCGGGACAGGGCTACCCCAAGGAAGAGCCTTGGAAAGTGCTCAGCTCTGGCCACAGAGGCAGGCCTGAGTGGTCCCTGCATGTGGACAGGTGGGGCTCCTAGGTGCCCCATGTGGTCAGAGCTCCGAGAGCAGCATGGTACCTCAGGTGGCAGTGGTGGGGTGGTTCTGGAAGATAACCACCCTCCTAAAAGGCCCGGGACTCCCATAGGTAGGGCAGGCAGGGTCTGGCAGAAGGGACAAGGACAGACTCCCTGGCTTCTAACCAGGAAGCCCCTCCCAGAGATAGTGGCTGGACAGATACCCACATGGTGCCCTTTGGGCTGCGCCTTGTCACTTACTCGACTCCCAGTGGCCCTTGCCACTCCTCCAGAGCCGTGAACAGGAGGGTGAGGCTCGGTGGCCCCAGCTGACACTTCTTGAGGCTGAGACAGGGCAGGAGGCAGGGCAGCAGATCAGAGGGCCAGGGCCCCTTCCAGCCAGCCTTCCCCCAGCAGCCCCTCCCTGCAGGTCACTCTCTGCTCTCCAGTCTTTCCCCTACAGCCCTGTTGAAGGTGTTTCTCCTCTGGGAGGACTTCACGACTCGGTTGGGGTCTCATAGCCCCTCACTATGGAGCTGGGGACCCTCCTAACTCCTAGGCCATGATTCAGCAAAAGCAGCCTGCCCTTCTTTCTCTGCAGCCTAACTTTTCTTGTACTTGGTTGTATATTTGGAGAGAGAAGCTGTCTGCTTCTAGAAAATGGTGTCTCAAAGCAGAGACAGCCCCAGATAGGGAGCAGGCGGGGGGCTGTCCTGTGTGCTACAGATACATTCTGACTTTGTCTAAGGAGACCAGGGCCTGAACCCACTGAGTAGCCACAAATCCCAGCCCCTGCTCTCACACACACCCTTATTTTCTCTTCTGTCATGCTCTCTTTTTTCCCTTTATCCCAACCCCCAGCCCTAGGGCCCTAGGCTCTGCTCACTTCCTGACCCCTCATCCCCATTGTAGTTACCCCCAAGGAAGAAGTGGGAGAAACTACCAGAAGCTCCTGGGGATGCAGTGCTTATGGAACCCTGAAAGTTGAACTTCTGCCGAGAATTCTGGCAAAGGTCCACTAGCCAGTTTGTCCCTAGAAGTGGGCAGAACAAGACAAAAAGAAAGTTCAAGTCATTCACATTAGACCCCAATGCTCAGAAGTCAGGGCTGGAAGGGACAATCAAGGCACTAGATCTGAGTCCAGCCTGACATTGTACAGGTGGTGAAACTGAGACCCAGGAAAGGAAGCCAGCAAGCTCACATGTGTCCAGGTGGGTAGCACCTGACTGGGTTAGAGGAGTCAGGACGGAGCCCTTCCTACTCTGACCACTGATACAGTATTCATGACTTCTGCCTCCCTGATCGTCAGCCCTTTGTGCTTCAAAACCCCAGGGGATTCCCCCAAAACTGAGACCCAGAGTGAGAGTAAGACCATCTGGCCTTGGGCCACCCCTGACTTCGGATAGCCACCTGTGTCACTGCCCCACTGGGCATTCCCGAAGGCCCCTCTTGGCAGCCAACCTTCTCAGGTGAGGCCCAGACATCTGTCCCCACTAGGGGGCAGCCAGGGACAGCTGCAAAGGGCTAAAACCATTCACTGTTTGCTATGAGGATGTGGAACTTTTCTTTTTTTTCAGAGCACCAATAGTTTCCTGCTTCTCAAGGGTGATTCTCAGTGTGAAAGGGCAACGATCCACATTAAGCTGTGTGGGCAGAAGTTACCCCAGAGCAGAAACCTACTGCTGTCATGGCTCCAGCCAGCATCTTCTCTGCCCTGGAGTCAACCACCAGGGCCTCTGTCCTGAGAACCCCTTCCTCCAGGACAGATTTACACCACTGGTCACTATTTACATGGTGTGTGTATGGGCAGGGGAGCTACAGAATCAGGATCGATTCCAGTGTGCCAGACCCCACTGCTCTACTCTTGGGCTGAGTGGACCATAGCAAGAGGGGACCCCCCTTCCCAGAATGCCCCCTCCTCACCTGCCTCTCTTGTCGCCTCTCAGGAGGATGTGCTGGCTCTCAAAGCTAGAAGCAAAGAGGAAGCAGCAGTTTGAGAAAGGTCAAAGGGCCCCTTCCGAGGCCCTGGGAGACAGGCCTGGCCGCATCATGAAGGCTGCTGGGAGGTGGCCTGATGCTTTAGTGACTATCACAATCAGTCCATTAAGCAATCTGCATTTATCAAGGCATATGTGGAATGCGCCACCACTGCTTTCTCATTGCCTTCTCACAACACAACTGCAAGGGGAGAAATTATTCTTAGATCCATTTTACAGACAAGGATACCAAGGCAGGACAAGCTCCAGAATGTGCTCAAAGCTGCCACAACTGGGAAGCAGCAAAGCCTGATCCATCTGCCATGGCACCTCCACTCTTGAGGACCCTCAGGGTAGAGGAGGGAGGCAGTGCTCGCCTAAACCACAGAGGCGCTTCATGAGGGCTGCTGGGCTGGCTGCTGTCTGCCCTCTAGGATGATCACCTCCAGAGATCTCACAATTAGGGCAGGTCCCTGAGTCCTCAAGGGCTACCAGGAAGGTCCAAATTTGCCTCTAAGTTTCTGAGGACAATCTAGGGAGTGAGTAAGAGAGAATGGATGGACTCTGTTCTATGGCGAACTGGACATATCTGAGTGTGTCTGAGGCCGCGGTCATTCATCCATATAATCATTCATTCAGTGGGCACCTGCCGTGTGGTCACTGTACCTGGGATGATACTCGGTGACATGGCCAAGGAGGGGCCCAAGTGGGAACTGATGGCCTACAGCAGGAAGGGTGCAGCTGGTAGGGGCAGAGAGGTGTACTCACCTTACTTCTAGGTGGCAAACCCACTGAAGAGTAGACAGGCACTGGGTCAAATGGAACACAGTATCCAGGGGTACGCCGTTCTCACTGAGGCTGAAGATTACAGGGGTGACATTGATGGGAGCCACCCAGCATCCGGACACACTGTGTCAGAGCACCAGCTGAGGGGTCCCTGGCTCCGGATGACCAAAACTGTGCTCCAGGTGGGTGAAGAGCACCCCCTCAACTTCATAATGCAACTGAGGATACAGGCCAGACACAGGCCAGGTGTGACCCACAATGACCAGCCATGTTGGTGACAGAGCCTAGGTTGGAAGCCAGTGGTCCCCTTGGTCAGTGATGGACCTAAAGATTGCTTTAAGCCACAGCTGGGCTCCATCTCCCCACCTGATGAAGGGCATGATCCTAGTGCAAAATGGAAATGTGGGCCTCTGCTCAAAAAGCAGGGACCAAGCTTCCCTTCTTTCCTGGTCCCTCTGCCATTGTATTTGCCATTTAAATTCTCTCCTCAAGCACAGGGCCTCCTGGCACCGGCTTAGCCAGTACCCAGGGTGATACGAAGGCCACCTGGGGGTGAGCTGTAAACTCAGCCTCTATGTCATCTGCCTGCAGAGCAGAGGCTTTCCCTACCGGTCAAGAGCAGGCCCCAAGCGAGTCGGAGATGACACCCTCCCTTATCTGTTTCCTCAAGACATGCTGTCCAAGCAGGAAGGACCCTGAGGCTGCAGCACTTATTTCAGAGGCTGCAGCCACAAGCAGTGACCACACCTACAGTTACACCTTTACTGATGGAACCAAGGGCTCAGAGAGGTGACAACTTACCCAAGGTCACACAGTAAGTAGGTGAGCCGTCTGAAACCTAGGACCTACCACTTCTTACCAAGGTTCCTCTTTGGCCCAGAAAAACTGGGAAGAGAAGGAAGCTGCAGGTGCCAAGAACACCTAGAGCCAGGAACTTTGGTCTGCTGAAGGCAAGGTTTGGGGTGCTTCCCTCCCATGCTGAACACCTAGCCTTGCTTCCTCAGGTCTGCGGGACCTTTGGGCAGCATTGGCATCTGCTTGAGGATCCTCTGTGCTCTAAACCCTCCCGGCTTACCCGGCCCAAGACCCATCAAGCAACCCTTCCCTGGAACCCTGAAGCCAGAAGGGCTGCTGGCCACCAATAACCTACTATGTCCCCAGGCTTCCACGGTGCTTCCCATAATGCCCCATGCTCCCCTAATACTGCCATGGGCAGCCCAGGCAGCCCTGCAGAGACACAGGGAATGGCCTAAGCAGTAAAGCTAACGCTGGATTACTGAGTCACAAGGCCAGAGTCCCTGTGAAGTGAGCTGTTGCTTGCTCTGATCTGAATAGGCAGCGAGGCAGCTGCTGCCCTTTACTGAGCTGTCACCCTGCCAAGGTCAGGGCTGGGCCCAGGGATCCATGTGCATTTTCTCATTCCATCTTTACCATAACCCCAGGGGGACAGTAAGGTTATACAGAGTGCTTCTGCTCATCCTGCAGAAGATAACCCCAGCGGCTCTGCCAGGTGGCTGCTACTTACTTCAAGGACTGCAGGGGTCCCAGCCCTGGGAGCAGCTGGGCCAACAGCACGGCTCCTTCTTCCCTTAGAGCGTTGCCTGAGAAGCTGAAGGGGAAGGGAGAGGTCACTGAGGCCTGGTGGGCTCAGCAGCAACATGGTTTGTGGAACCCTGCCCTGACCCTCCCAGCTTCTGTGGCCCAGGCACAGCCTAGGCCACCTGAACAGGTCTCAGTCTGTCCCACACAGGCAGCAGGGGGCTCCTCTGGGCTCTCCTGTGAGATTCATGGACTCCCAGGGGACCAGTGTGGTCTTCAGAGGGTGTCATATGTAGGGACATATATTTGAGGTGAAAATCATAACTTTCACCAGATTCTCTGACTTCAGGAGGAAAGAACTGCTGATCTAAGTCTTAAAAAAACAAATCAAATCCCAGCACTCTGCGAAGCTGAGGCAGGAGGATTGAAAGTTTGAGCCCAGCCTGGTTAACTTAACAAGATCCTTTCTCAAAATAAAAAGGGCTGGAGATTGTAGCTTAGTATGAAGGCCCTGAATTTGATCCCTAGTGTCACAAAACAGAAAACAAAAACACCAAAGAATCCCAAAATGAAACACCAACACGCTAACACTGAGGCACTCTGACTGTCCCCACACGCTGCCTTCTGAAGTGCCAAACACTCACTCAAGGTGACCGAGATGGGCGAGGAGGCAGCTTCCTTCCAGGGCATTGCAGAGCTTCTTTAGGTGCTCGGCCTGGAAGCCGCAGTGTGTCAGCCTGCAGAGGGAGCAGATCCACAGCTCTACACCACCTGCCTGCTGCATGGAGGTGCCGGCCACTTGTCACCTATCACCCCAGACCTAGACAGCCAGGCTTCTGCAGGGAGGAAACTTAGCATATATGGCATCCAGACAGACAGGTAGGCAGGCAGGCAGGCAGGCAGGCAGGTAGATAGACAAGAGGGTTTAACACACATATGACATCTATAAGAGGTCACACACAGGAAGAGAGTCAGAGATGAGAGAGACAGGAGAACAGGCAAGAAGACAGGGCAGTAGAGAAAGAAAAACTATGAAAGACACAAGGGGGAGAGAGAGAGGATGGCATCCAGACAGACAGGTAGGCAGGCAGGCAGGCAGGCAGGCAGGTAGATAGACAAGAGGGTTTAACACACATATGACATCTATAAGAGGTCACACACAGGAAGAGAGTCAGAGATGAGAGAGACAGGAGAACAGGCAAGAAGACAGGGCAGTAGAGAAAGAAAAACTATGAAAGACACAAGGGGGAGAGAGAGAGGGGAAAGGAGCAGAGGAGGAGTGTGGGTGGGAGGCCCTCAGGGACCAGGCTGAGCCCCCCATGAGGCCCCAGGTCAGAAGGGCAGGGCTACCCTCTTCTCTTTCAGTGCTCCCTCAACCCTACTGCTGCTGGGGCTGGATGGCCCAGGGAAGGGTGACTGAAGGGGCTGCCCCAGGCTCCACAGGAAGGAGAAGAATGGAAGCCAGCATATAGCTCCTGGACACCACAGGACATGTTGACCCTAAGGAGCATGTGGGCTTGGGGTTGAGGCTTGGGGACAAGGAAGGGAGGAAGCTGGAACCCTGCCATCACCATACCTGATTCCTCGGTGAGGCTCAAAGGCTGCTGGGAATGTGAAGTTGTCTAGAAATGCAGCCCTGCAGGAACACACATCAAGTCCCTCCAGCAGACCCCTCATCCGCTGTCTCTGAAGACCACCCCCACCTCACCTGCCACCAGTCAGCCCCTACTCAGCCTGGAGTCAGTGCGACCCTGGTTCCCATTGGGCTTGGTGTGTGAGGGAGAGACAAATCGCTCAGTCCCACAGTGGAGTAATATACATGCAAATTGTCTTAATGCAGTGTTTGGTGCACACATAAAAAGTGCTCTATTAACCTTGGCTTCTAATTTCATCATCACCATCATCAGTGACATCAGAGATGTCAGTCCCAGCCCTAACCAAACCTTCAAAGTCCAGACCCTACAGAGGAAATTGTGGGAGGACATTAAGAAGCAAAGACTTGAATCTCTGCCCAAATTCTGTGCTGGGGCAATCCAGGAGGGGACCCTGAAGGAGAAAACCCCCTAAAATGTCCTAGATCCAGAAGTACTAACATCAGAGCTACAGGCCAGGGAATGTTCAGAGTTTAGGCTTCAGGACCACAGTCTCCCCAGCATCATTTTCTGGCAATCCCAGTGGCACCCCAACATGTCACACAAGTCCTACACCTCAGGGATCTCTTTGGGTCACAAAACGAGGAGGCAGCTATCTCCCAGGCCTCTCCCTGGTGGGCTCCATCGCTGCCTGCCCTGCTCCCTTCCTGTCTTGTCATGAATTCACCAAGCTCTCTCTGGCAGTTGACCACACTGCCCAGCTGTGAGGTCTGGGAGGGGGACCTGAGCCAGAGGGGAGTGGGAAAATAGGGGGCCCTACCTCTCCTGTGTCCCCTCCTGCTCCTCTGCCTCTTGGGCAAATGTGAGGACCACCGTCTTCTGCAGCAGGCTGTGGGGAAGAGAGAGGTTCCAAGGAGGTTACCGTCCCCCTGCTCTGTGCCCTGGTTTAGCCCTGGCATGGAACATCCCTGAAGAGCCAGTCCCTGCCCTCACCCCTCCAGCTGGCCACTTTCTTTGACTTCCTTCTGACTTCTGGGACTGAGGTCTTGCTACCAAGATTTCATAAATAAATCTACTGCCAAAGTAGCTCTCGGTTTCAGGCAAGTCTGTGGAAAAAAGGTGAACCACTGCCTTCTCCTTGGTTTAGGCCTCAGGTGAAGACCCTCCTGCTTCTCCTCCCATCAGTCTTCTCTTGGGCTCCAAGCACTCTGGGCTTGGGGTGCTGGCTTTCACGTAGCTGGAGTATGATGGGTTGAAAACATATGTGGAATGTTTTAAATTTTTAAAAATGTATTACAGTAAAAGATATTGCCACGAATCCTCCTTACATTACTTCCCTTCACTTGGAACACACATCCCATTCTTCTTGCCGCTTTCTGAAGCAGTCCTGGAGGCCCTCTTATGTGAGTGTTCTGAGTTGTGATGTGGCTGCCTTGCTATCCCGAATCTCTTGAAAATGTTTACACGTTCATGGTGACTTTAGGGAAGAGTCAGAAGTTCCCGGTGCCAGGCTTGGTGAATCAGGTGGATGAGGACACTCTGATGTTTTCACAATCCTGCCTTTCTGTTGGATGGCAGCTGGTGTCGGCATTCACTATATATATACTTTTTTTGATCAAACCTCATGAAGACATTCATGGAAGAAGACTTCCAGAACTACTTCCAGAAAGTGGCACGGATGATAGAGTGAGTGTGTGGAGGAGGAGGAGATCTGGTGGGGGAGTTATGGCAATATGTCATTTCTTTTTTGCGGTACTGGGGATTGAACTCAGGACCTTGTGTTTGCGAGGCAGGCATGGTGCCACTGAGCTAAATCCCTGGCCCAATATGTCATTTCTTTTTTGCGGTACTGGGGATTGAACTCAGGACCTTGTGTTTGCGAGGCAGGCATGGTGCCACTGAGCTAAATCCCTGGCCCAATATGTCATTTCTTGTAGTACCTTTTAAAATGTAAACATTCGCCATAGATTTTGATCACCTATGTACATCTCTATGATCAGTCTTAACCTGTTGGAGCGGGTGCTTTAAGTCCCTAGCTTTTTAATGTACTCTTTTTCTTTAAAAGTGGGACTTTACAGATGCTCTTTTAATATTCTCTTTTACAGCTCTCAAGAAACAGGCAGTTAGGGTGGCAAGTTATAATTATTAATAATCACCATTGTTGAAGGGAACAGATTTTACTTCTACTTCTGAGTATGTTTGAAAAGCTTTACTATACAGATAATTATTAAAATGGTTGTATTTACTTAATATATCATAGTTATCCCTGCATAGTAAAAATGTATCTATATCATCATTGTTTCCATGGTTCCATGGTTACTTTTCTCCAGAAGTAACTTGGCTTATTTAAGAAATATCCTACTGTTAAATCCATCTTTTCCTATTATAACCAATCCTGGGTGAGCATCCCTGTGGCTAAATGTGTTTACATAATCACAATGGCTTGGTTAACATAAGTTCCTGGAAGTGAATGGAGCATCATTTGGTACCCACTCAGGACCTGTACTGAGTGAACCGAGGTTCCTAATGTATCTCACGTGCGAGTCCAGTTTCTCCTCCTTTTAGATGTGTAAAGCAGGGAGGGACCTCCCCTGGGAAAGAGGCTTCCCTCACAATGGGAACTTGGGACACTGGTTCACACCTGTTCCAGCTCCCCATACCAAGCAGCAAGACTTAGACAAAAAGAGGTAGACAAATGAGGTCAGGTCTGTCTTAGGTGGAGTCCCTTGGTCACTTGTGTGTGCAATGTTGCTTTCAGGAGAAACCAGTAAAGGACCAAGGGAAGCTGGGTCTGATCCAAGGGAAGCTCCAGGATGATCACAGGGAACTCTGGGATGTAGAGGACACTACAAAATCTGGAGGGTTGTACCTTCTGCTTTGTCCCTGCAACTCCCGGGGATAACCTGCCAGATGTCCCTGGCTCCTGCCAGCCCCAGCAGCTCTCCTGAGAAGCTTGTGCCCACAGCATCTGGGCAGAGGTGTACCAGCCAGGATGGGGGCTGAGCAGGGTGCTAACAGTATCTTCTAGGGGTCTGTCCCTAAGGCCTGGGACCAGAAAGAATCCCAAGGACTTTAGAGGGCATGATGGGAGAGCCCTGGGCTCTAGGCTGGGGTGGGAGTGACAGGGTCCTCAAGGGCCCACCTGATATGCAGTCCCACCAGGCTCCGGCATGTGCTCACAGCTCGTAGCACATAGGACACTCCGTCCACAGAAAGCTCATTGTCACTGAGGCTGGAGAGAGGAGGAGGGACATGGTCATCAGCAGGCTCCTATGTCTCCTTGTAGCTCAACAGCTTATTGGCTGACATTCCTGGGGCTCCCAAAGGATCCAAGCCCATGGGGCTGAGCCAAGAGACACATGGGCCCCCACTCTGCCCAGTTGAGATCTCCAGCTCAAGCTATAAGAACTGACTGAGGGTTCCCCCTCTTCTGAGTCTGTTTCCTGGTCTGGAAAATAACCACCATCTTCTGAGCACTGACGGACTAGGCTGTGTATCAAGGACTTTGTACCTATACAGCCTCATGTAATCCCATGTTACAAATGAAGACACAGGTTGGGAGCCATTCCATTCCATTCCCAGGACCATAAAGCTGCTATGCAAGAGTCAAAGCCAAGACCCCAAATTTACACCACCTCAGTGTTCCTCTAACTCCAACCCAAATGCTATCCTAACACCCCAACACACCCCATCCAAACACCTCTGCCTCACCTCCCCAAAGAACCACAGCACACTCATTAACCTAACACCCTTCCTTCCCATCTCAGCACCCCAACAACACTCTTTTACCCCCAGACCATACCCCTACCTAACATACCACTTCCTACTTCCATGTCCTGACCTAACATCTCACCCTCATGCACCCCATGCCTCAGTTCTGCCCCAGTGCAGCACCCCCACTCCCACTCCAGGGTTGGTGCAAGGATGAGCTGGAACCAAGCCACTGATGACTGTGAGTGTGACCCCCACGTGTGAGGGGTCACAGGGTTGGGACTGTTAGAAGCTCAAGGAAGAGGGAAAGGCAAGGAATGGCCAGACCAGCTCTGCTGGGTCTGGAGAATGCAGGGTGGTGAGTGGATCAGCATGCTCACTACTGATGGTGGCACAGGAAGCAGGGGTGGCAGGGACCAGGTGGGACGCTCTGGGAGTCTCTCTGTCACCCAGGGGTGAGAGAGAAACTCACTCCAGCTTCCCAGTGATGTGCAGATGGGATGCAGCCTCCACCATGAGTCGACAGCCTTCATCTTCCAGCTGGTTCCCTGAGAGACTGAGACAGAGGGGCCTGCTGTCCTGACCTGAGGGACAGTCTCCCTGAACCCCCACAGGCTCACAACCCCTCAGTGACCCCTCAGAATCACTCCTGATGAACCTGCATGTTAGCTAAAGGCTGCAGGCTGCACGCAACATATCCAGCATGGCCTAGGGCTGTGATGGAGAAGCTATGGCACATGTGCCCCAGCCCTCTCTGCGATGGTGTCATGAGTTGCTTTTCTTAAACTAAACCCTCAGTATTCAGGTTTAATTGTGGTGTTGGCACTCTGTGTGATAAATAAGCAAGTTTTGGATTGCAGTTTGGGCACTCGATCTCTAAAAGGTTCGCCATTGCTGGGTTAGGAGGTTCTGCAATTGTGAGCACATTTCATCCTCACAACAATCCTATGGTGCAGGCATCATTATTGCTATCCTCGTATTGCTGATGGGTGCACTGAGGCTCAGAATGGTTGAGGCACTTCCTCAGAGGTGAGCCTGGATTTGAACCCAGGTAGCCTGACTTCAAGTCCTCACGCTTGACCATTCTGTTATGCTACAACTTACATAATGGCATCTTGTGATAGGCCCCATGATTATAGGGACAGATGACCCAATGTGGGGGGTCCAGAAAGGCTTCCTTGAAATGTGTGTGTGTGTGTGTGTGTGTGTGTGTGTGTGTGTGTGTGTGTGTGTGTTGAGAAAGAGCGATGTGTGTGTGTGTGTGTGTGTGTGTGTTTAGAAAAATCAGGAGTTTAGTAGGTAAGGGGTAGTGGAGGCACAGGGAGGAGCATTTCTGATAGTAGGAACAGTACATTCAAAGGCTCTGTGACATAGCACATAGGAGCACCAAAAAGGGACACAATGGGTCTGGACTGGAGGTTGAGTGGGGGTTTCAGGTAAAATGGTGCTTGAGGAGGGGTGGGGGAAGGGTTCTGGACTACACAGGATTTTAGGATCTGGGCTTTATCTTGAGCAGCAAGAATAAGGGACTGGGTAGGCAGCAGAAATGCAGTTCCTTCTGCCAGGTAGAGGTGGCAGAGGTGGAAAGTGGTGGCATAACCGGGTGAAGGATGAGGATGGTTTGGACTGGGAGGAGGGTGAAAAGGCTGGAGAGAGGAGGCGGTTCTGAGAGCTATTTAAGTCCACCCAGGATGGGCTGGCTGTGGGGAGGCCCAGGGAGCTGGGAGGAGTTCTGTCTGTGTGACCAGGCGGGGGGCAGTCAGCACTTCACGTGAGAGCAGGGGGTGGGGACAGCCTCAGTGGCGGTGAGGGAGGCAGGAATATGTGATGTCTTCTGACCCTGTCCTCGTCCTCCCAAATGGGAAGGTAAAAAACCAAGACTCGATCACCGAGGCAGCCTTCACCCCGTCCCGCTCACTCCACAGCACCAGTGTTCCACTGCCCCACCTTTGTGCCCACTGGATGATTTCCTGGGACGGTCCCGGTGGCTCCCTCCAGGTGACACAGGAGGGCCTGCCCCAGTCCCCAAGTCCTGTTCTCATTGGTCCAGCCCAGGAGCAGGTGCAGGACTAGTGAGGTTCGTCTCTGCAGACCTCAGTGACAGAGGTGGCAGTAGTTTTGGGGCTTGCAACCTGGCCAGGACTCTTCCTGTCAGTTTGGCCTTGAACAAATTTACCTTTCTATGGCTTCCCTTCCTCTATAAAATGTGAATAGTAACAGTTCTAACATCATGTAATGAGGGGACTAAATGAGATGAACATACATGCTGTTTGCTGGACACTGATGCAGGAAAATTGCTAAATGATGACAGCTGTTACCGTCATCTGGTGCCCCATTTTCTTCACGGTGCAGCACCCAGTCACCTCCCCATAATTCCCATCCCCACCCCAGCCACCCCAGAGCCTTCCCAGATACTCACTCCACTTCCTCCAGCCAGGGACCTTCCTGGAGCAGGCCTACAAGGACCTCCACATGGTGGACCCTGAGCTGACATCTCTGGAGCCTGGAGCAGGGGTGGGGGACAGAGGGGCTCCGCTGTGCCATGTCTCCTTCAGCTTTTAGCACTGGGAGAGACTTACAGATCTGAGGACAGCACGTGTCTTAGTAGCTGGGCCATCCTGGGCAAGTCACTGACCTATGTAAGACTTAGTTTCCCTCTCTGTCATATGGGAATAAATGTATTCCACAAGACCTCCATAGTCTCATCATAAGATAATGGACACAGAACACTGAGGTCTGTGCCCAGCACAGAGTGAGGGCCCATTCCTCAGTAGCTGTGGCTGCCATGATGTTCTCTTGGGTCAAGCCAGGCCACTTGTTCATACCCTTCCTTGCCCCATGCCTGCCCTTTCCCCCTGTCACCCCTCTCCCTAAGGCAGGGGACCCCACTACAGTACCTCAGTGCCAGAATTCTTCTCTTGGAGTCTTTCCACTGGCTGTCTTTTTCTGGTAGGTCTGGAGCTCTGGCAAGAATAAATCAAATACTGGCCTGGGCTCAGAAGCCAGAGTCTGATGGACCAGGTCTTTCCTTGGACCTCTCGGAACTGAGGGCCGCTCTGCACCCCCACAATGAGTCATAGACTCAGTTGGTTCAAGGTGCTCAAAGTATGATTCAGCAAAGTAGCAGGAGCAGGTTTGAAGTCCAAGGGCTCTGCCACATATCGCCGTGTGGCCTTGGGCAAGTCCCTTTACCCACTGGAATCTACTTCCTCTTTCTCAAGATGGGTGATGATCTCTACCACAGAGTGCCTGAAGGACTGACTGTAACAAGGTATGTTCAAGTGCCAGCAGTGGCCAAAAGGGGAACTTTAGTAAAGAGAAGCTTCCAGGGTCTGTGACATGGTGGCTTCCATGTGAGAGGAGCTAGGAGAACGAACTGTGTGCAGGCGGGTCCTGGCGGTGAGAGGGACCTTCAGGGAAGGCTCAGAGAAGCTAGGATACAATGAGTCAGGTGTCACAGATTCCAGGCCGCTCCTGTGTGGCAGAGCTCTCTATGAAGGAAGAATTCTTCACCTGTACTGCTGCTATGGGAGCCCCCCGCCATGGTCATCGAGCACTTGAAGCATGTGGCAAATGCCTCTGATGAACATTTTGTTTTATTTAATTTAAATTTATTTTTTTTCAGCGTGGGGGGTTGAACTCAAGGCTACCACACCGATAAAGTGTCATCTGTGTGTGCGTCTCAGCCAGGATGGAGTGTGGGGAGTACAGAAAGAATGTTTTCTGAGGGGAAACAGCTTCCCTTTCTTCACCCATTCAAGAACAGCCAAGTGGAAATCCACAGAGAGCCGGAAGAGCCTGTATTTGAGTGCTGGCCGCATGCTACCAGTGTGTGAAATACTTTAAATGTATTTGCTCATTTAATTCTCACAACAACCTTAAGATGTAAGTACCATCATTTTCCTTTCCCTTTTCCCTTTTCCCTTTTCCCCTGCTGTAAGAGTTTTCCCAGAGTTTCTTCACACAGTGATGCCAGGCTAAACAGTGTTTTCTTGTCTTTCCCGAGGGTCTGGCTTACTCTGACACTCAGGATGTTCCCTCTGCACAGGGGCTGGATGTGGTCAGATATCCTAGTGGAAGTTAAAATTCTTCCTTAGCTGGGTCTGACGGAGCACAGCTGTAATCCAAGCACTTGAGAGGCAGAGGCAGGAGGATCACTGTGAGTTCAAGGCCATCCTGAACTACACAGTCTGTCTCAAAATAAAAAAAAAATCTTCCCCTAGCTCTGTGCAGTAATGAATTCCTCAGGATGGCAGAGCAGGAAGAACCTCCACATTCCAGGTCTTTCTGGGCTTTTCTGGCCACACTTCCCCCAACTGTCTGAACCAGATCACCTCCCATACCTCCCCAGCTTCTTACCTTTGTCGATCTGCAGCTGTCTCTGTAGACCGGGAAAGAAAGAAGACGAGATCTGTCTCCCTAAAGGGCCAGACACCAAGCCATGAAAGCCATGGACATCGCCCTCACCTGCACACCCCTTCAGGCCCCAAACACCCCATGAAAGCTCATTTTAAAATTGACAGAGAAACAGGAGAGAGAACTGGCAAAAGTTTTTTAAAGTCAGAAAAATAATTCCTTAAAAGAAATAAAACAGTAAAGCTGTGAGTTTTCAAATAGGAGCTATAAACTGGATGTGGTAACACGTGTGTGGAACCCCAGCACTTTGGGGGGCCGAGACAGGCAGATAGCAAGTTTGAGCCTAGTTTGAGCAGTTTAGAGAGACACTGTTTCAAAATTAAATACAAAAGCAGAACAGAAACCAAAGGGCTGAGGAGTTGTAGTTGTTTTAAAATCAAGAAGTATGACACCCAACCAACCTGATGATTCAAAAGCGGAATGCGGTTTCAGCACCACGGAGAGCAACAGGCGGGGACTCATTCCTCCAGTTTATGCCTACGCTCCATGGATTGGATTTCCTCATTCATTTATCCTTTTATCCTTACATCTGTCCATCCATCCATCCACCCATCAGTCCATCCATCTATCTACCCATTATTTATCAGACTCTAGGCCTGAGTTAGGCCCTGGAGTTTTGATTAAAATAGTCCTGAGCATGCACACGTAGATCTTGCACACTATAGGTCTCCTTCTTTTCCCACTCCCACTCTATCTTTTCTTTTTACAAGACCTTGAAGACCAACATCCCCTTCTTTCTACTCACGTGACTCGCAGGGTCCTGACAGTAGGGCATGTGACTGCCACCTTCACCAAGCAGAATAGGGTTGACATGGAGAAATTGCTGTGGCTCAGGCTGTATGATTGCAGCAGAAGTGTCAGGACTGGGTCCCCAAGGGGACTAAGAGGGAGGGGTGACTCAGGCCAAGAGAGGGGCTAGGCTGAAGGGAGAGGAAGACAACTTACTCAAGCTTCTGGAGCTGCGGCAGGCTGGGCAGTAGCTCTACAATGCTCAGCACCTCCTGGTCCTTGAGCTGGTTGTCCTGCAAACTGCATGGGAAGGGACCCTTCAGCTCTGGGACCCCTGGGTGTCCCAATTGGCAGGTGACAGCCATGGCCACCTTCATGCCAGAGACACAAGACAAGGGCCCAGGAAGAGTGGATGACATGTTTCCTGGGATCCAAGAGGCACAGCTAGGAGGAAATGTTCTGTGCTGACTTCACTTCAGTCCCCATGGGGGAGTTTCTGCCTGGTGGCTCAAGGGATCTAGATGTGGAAGTCTCATGGAGTGAGGAGACCCAGTATCTGCTCCCAGGGCTCATGTCAGGGATGTGCCCGAGGCCCAAGTCCATCAGGGTCTCTCAGCCCACAGGTGATGAGCAGTTTCAACAGGGAATAATGGAGATGCTGCTTCTAGCTTCTACTCTAGCCTTGACCCACCCAGAGCCCCAGGACAAGCATTCTCCTCTCTGACCTCTCCTTCTCCACCTGTCAAGTAGTGTTCACAACTCAAGCCCTGCCTGGGTTCCTACCTGGAGGGACAGATGAACTGAGGTGTGGAGATTAACTGAAAGCAATGGTGGGTAATAAGAGAAAAGACTAAGGTCACTCTCAATAATCAGGAAAGAAAGGTACATGTCAGTAGGGTCAATGTTCCAAAACTTTGTCCTTACCAGACTGATCACTGTACAAAGGCACCCAGCTGAAGAGACAAGAGGGACTGTGGTCCAGCTTATAACCTACTTAATAAGTGCTGCAATTATGCATCTTCTAAAGATGGCATAAAAGCTAGCAGTGGTCCTGTCAGTGAGGGGCTGGAGGCCTCCCTGTTCCCCAGAGCCCTCATTCCCAAACACAGGGAGTGTATCTGTGTGTGTGTGCTTGTGAGCATGCATTTGTATCTAAACATATACACAATCTAAGTGTGCATTCATGTGCCATATACGTATGCATCTATGAATGGGCAGGTGGGGGTACATACTTGAACAGGTAAGCGTGGACTCTTGTGCAGATGTGTACACATATGCACAAATGTGAAGGTGTGTGTTTTATGCAATTATGTGTAACCACAGTGCCAACCTCTGGCCTGTACACTGCCATCCCTTCTCCTGGGTTCACAGAAAGAGAGAGAGAGGGCTTCAAAACTCATGTTCCTTCAAGACAGTTCAAAACATTAGGTGACAGAGGCCCTGCTCAGGAGTCTTTGGGAGGCTTGTGCTTAGATTCAGCAATAGCCTGTTTCAGGATTGATACTGCATTCTCTGAGTCTTGTTGAAAATTACTATTCAGATCTTGATGGAATAAGCAGAACCCAGTCCAGGGTTCAGGACTATCCTGGGAACTGGGCAGTGGCCCCTTTTTCCAACCAGTGAGCCCTTCTGGAGACCACTCACCTGATCTGTTCCAGCTGTGGGCAGAGGGGCACAGCCTGCACCAGGTGGCTGATGCCTCGAGCAGTGATCTTGCTTCCTGCTAACCTACAGGATAAGCAAGGATGGTGGGGGAGGAATTGGGGTGGGGCAGGGGTAGGCCAGGAATATATACTGTGTAGGACAGAGTGGGGAAGGAGAGTGTCAGGCATCCTCAACTGAAGATCCTTCTTGGTTCCAAGCCCTGGCTCACCCCAGCTTCTTCAGGTTCCCCATGGTCGGCAAGCTCCTAGAGAGGGCTTCTGCAAAGGTGTCTCTGCACTTCCTGCTCTTAAAGCTGCATGGGAAGAAGCAAAGTGGCCAAGGATCAGCGCTAGCAAAGCTCAGAGGCTATCACCACCCCCTCCTGTACCAGATGAGGCTTAATCTAGTAACAGTTACTGTTTTCACTCTAGTTGTAGCCATACAACAACAAATTACAGCTGAGAATTTCACCCAAAGAATCCATCCTTTACTTTATCCATAGACACGGAGGTTGGCTGGTAACAAGGTTTTCCAGCCTGACATCATTTTCAGCCTCCCTTGCAGCTCAAGAGTGGCCATGTGACTATGTTCTGACCAATGAGACTGGGAGGGATGTGTCCCAGTTTGAAGCCTGACCTTTAACAGAGTGGGTGTGCCTCCACTCTCACCCTGTCCCTTCCCCCAAGCAAGAGTGCAGGTTGCCTATGAGCTGGCTTTGATCATGCAGACAGGATGCCCAAGGGATGATGAAGCAACAAGAGTAGGGACCTGGGTCCCTACCTGACCACATGGACCATACCGCCACGCCAGATTTAGTCCTGACTTTTCCATGAGGGAGAAATATGATTTTTCGTGATTTAATGATTTTATTTGAGGAAGTTTCTTTGATTGCAACCTTGCCTTTTCTCTGGCTAATGCCAACATTGAGTCTTTGCTCTGTGCCTTACTTATCCCATCTCATCCTCTTTTTAGGGAGGAAGAACCTTTCCAGCTGAGAGGTTACATAATAACCTGCCCAAAATCAAACTGCTTTTAGCAGCACAGCTGGGATCAGAAGAGATCCATGATCAATAGAGAGACTGCAAAAACCATAGGAAGCACAGGCAGGAGGATCCAGTTGGTCTCTGGAGGTCCTGAAGCATGGAGCTGCCCCATTGTGTCCAGGCTAAGGAGCACTCAGAGCCACTCTGTCCTGATATCCAAGATCCAGATCCACTCTCTCTAGCTGGACTGGTGGCCTCTGCTGTCCTGAAAGCCCCGTTCCCTCCCAAGGCCTCTCTGTGCTCCTTGGCTCTCACTCACCTGAGTGTCTCCACTTGCCCACAGCCTGCCAGTGCCTCAGGGGAGTGAGGTTCCAGCGGGCAGCCCTCAAATTCCAGGTGGATGGGGGTGGCCCTGTGCTCCAGAACACTGACTAGGGCAGCCAGGTCTGTGTAGGTCAGTGGGAAATTGTGGAAGAGCAGTTGGTAGGGGAGGCTCTGAGCAGTGAGGCTGGCCAGCTCAGGCTCCTGAGTCTCAGCCACACAGTGACACAGCTCTACCACCTTTGGTCCCGTGAGTTTGCGGATGGCAAACTTCCTCAACAGCTGTACAACAGCAGCCTGCCTGGTGCCCACCCAGGTCTCATCCTGCTGAGCCACCTGGCTGAGGAAAGGACGACAGGTATGGGATGCCAGACCTGCCAAGAAGGTGGAGAGGTATTCTGCAAGGCCCAGTCTAACTTTGGTCCGCAGGACCCAGCGGGAATTGAGGACAACATGGCGGGCAAGTGTGCCCTTGTCTACCGTGGGGCTGGTCATCAGGTATAGGGCAGCAAAAAACTCCTGCAGGCTGAGGTGGGCAAAGGCATAGCCTGTTTCCTGGTGCCCAGGGCTTGTGTGGATGCTGAAGGAGGTCAGCAGGCTGTGGGTAGCCCCGAAGACCATCATGGGTGGGGGGATGTCTCTATCATAGAAGATGACCTTCCCAGTCTCCAGGCCACTCAAGGCCACTTTCCCAAGGCCTACTAGAGAAACAGCAGGAAGCGGGCTGAGGGTAAGAAGCATCTGCACATACAGCTGGGTCACAGTGGGCGCGAAGGCTACAGACTGGCCTCGGAGGCTGGTGGAGTGTAGATGGTGCAGGCAGAGGCAGGCGACCTGGCACAGCGCTGGCACCATGCACATGCTCCGGAGACGTCCATTTGCCAGCAGTTCTGTGAGGGCCACCTCCTGAGATGGCTGGTCACTAAAGTAGTGGTTCATATACTGCTTCACCCGCAGCAGGTCAAAGCCCCACATGTGGACCATGGCTGCTTCTGTGGGCAGGCAGGCAGGCAGCTTCCCAGGACGAGAGGTGGCCATCACCCAGCAGCCTGGCAGGAGGGTCCCACGGCAGAGGCTGGAGAAGAGAGTGAAGGCTGGGCCAGAGCCATTGGGCTCCACAGTCTCCTGGCTGGAACAGGGCTGGAGGGCCTCGTCCAGCCCATCGAATATCAGCAGGACTTGGCTGGCATTCTCTTCCAGGAAGTGGAAGACAGCATCGGGGCCTGACTCTGGTCTCACGTACAGATCGAAAAGGAGCTGAGGCAACGTCAGGAAATGTGGGATCAAATTGAGCTGGCGGAATTCAAAAAGGAACAGGGCCCGGAAGTGGTCCAGGTGCCCATCAGCCCACTTGTGGCAGAGCTGCCTGGCCAACGTGGTCTTGCCCATGCCCGCCTTTCCCAAAAGCACTGTCACCCGAGAGCTCTTGGGGGTCTTGAAGTTGAAGAGGTCCTGGATGCTCACATCACTGCCGTCTTCTGTCTTGGGGTCTCCCATAATGGCCCCCTTTGGAGCATGTAAGGGCACTGTGGCCCGGCTCCACTGCAGGACTGGGGGCACATAGATCTTCCCTGACCCAGGGAGTCCATCACCATAGTGCTTCAGGGCAGAGGTCCTCAGGAGCTGCAGGTAACTCTCGGCCAACTCTGCAGAGGCACAGGGAGACAGCATTAAGCAGGAGCCCCCAGGTCTGCACTTGTGTCCCCTGCTGTGCATGTATTAGGGCTTGGGTGGCGAGGGCCCAGTAGGGGGTTCTGTGCCACCAAAACTCCTAGAAGGGATTGGTTCCACAGCAGCACAGGCTCTGGCAGGCATGGGATGGGAATGTGGGAGTCGTGGCTCTATGTGTTCTGCAATAGTGCTAGTGAGGTAGAGCTTTCGATAAGGCAGGGACAGGGGTGGGGGCTTCCTTGGCAACATCTTCCAAGAGTTCCAGTTCTGTTAGTACAGTGAGCACCAAAAAGCAGCGATTCTGGGCATTGGCCAATCCTGCCCCACAGCGCAACCTTTTCATTTGTAGATCAGGGGGAGGTCTCAGGTGGCCCAGGGAAAGATGGGGGCTACTGTTGGAGATCAGGAGACAGAGGTAGTAGCCAGGTTGGCACAAATGTGAATCCTTTGTCTAAGCAGAGCGTGTGTGTGTGTGTGTGTGTGTGTGTGTGTGTGTGTGTGTGGTATTTCCAGATAGTGGGACAACTGGTCAAAGACGAGGACCATTCTGGATAACAGAGGAGAATGAGAGGGGTTCTTTCTCCTCTCCTCCCCCTGGCCTGGCCAGCCCCCATTTCCCAGGGGCCCCCAAGGCTTCTGCTGCAGGGAGTTCCCCAGGCATCCTCATCACTCCATATCCCTGCTACCACCTGAGGTCGTGCCAGTCACCCCGCAGAGGCTCCTGCAACTCTGAGGGAGGGTGTCCCTGGAAGAGCCTGGATGACAAGGCTGTCACTTGTTGGATGCTTCCAGCTCCTTCAGCGGAACCCCCTCTGGAGAAGCCCCTTGAAGCCTGTGGGGGACCCTTTTTCTCATATGCCCAGCCAGGATCTCTGCTCCTCTCCTGCAGGCTTGGCAGACAAGTGCCACTGGGGCCTGGAGGCTTGCCAGCTGGGGACCGGATCTAGAATCTGGGCTGAGCCCCAGAGCAACCTAATCCTACCCTAGTACCCACCTAGCCGCTGTTTCCTGCTGTGCTTCCAGTGGGGCGAGGATTCACAGCTCTGATAGGGACGCTTGAGGCCTGGAAAGAGTGAAGGAAGCAGAAAGGGCTAATTGGGGGTCCTGGGCGGCACCTCCAGGGTACTCCATTCCACAAACAGGTGCTGGCAGACAATGCATTTGCACTCAGGGACTGTGAGGAGGCAGGCGGCAGGCAAAGGCAGCATCCATCTACACCAGCGGCTGCTGCAGAGAGGGCTGCAGGGGTGGCAGCTCTGGGCCTGGGCATCTCCCATCCCAGACACAGACAGCGAGCCTACAGTCCCAGCCCCAGAGACACTCAGCACTGTGCAGCTGTCACTCTACCGAAGGTGGGCCAAGCTCACGGAGGGCTACACTTCTAACAGGCTTGGCCTGGCCTGTGACCTTCCTCCTGAGTCAGGTCTTGGTTGCCTCTACTTTTCACCACATCTCCTCATGGCCCCGTCATGATCCTGTCTGTTGGTTGCACAGATTTTTCAGCATCCCTTTAATGCTTTTTGTGTGGAAAAGACAGAAGGAAAACAAGAGGGAAAGGAAGAGAGGGATGCGGGCAACAAAAAAGGCAGGAGGACTGGGAGAATTTTAAGAAGGGCAGTGCCTACAATCCCAATTTTGAGGCCAGCCTGTGTACTTGGTGACTTAGTGAGACAATGTCTCAAAGATAGATAAATAAATAAATAAAGGATGGGGATGTAGCTCAGTGGAAAGGTCCTGGGTCCCAGTGGCATTCCCTGCAGCCAGCTCCAGTGTTCAACCAGAGTAGCCCCTTGATACAGAGCTAGACTCCTCCTTACAAAGTACAGGAAGGGGCTGGAACCCTTTTGAGTTCAACATTTTAACAAGTGCCGTATTTACCAGGGTCTCACCATTGAGTATCAATCAGCCCCAGTCAAAGCCACATGACAATTACCAGCTCAGTGATAAGGGATGGAGGAGACCAGGGGCCTAGACACACAGTTTGGAATTGTGGGGAGCTGGGGTTATGGGGTGGGTGTTTCATTCACCCTGGGACATGACTGCAGAGCCCAGCTATACTACTTTAGGAACCAAGCTTCTGAGACTAGAAATGCCCAGCAGTCAGCGATGTAGTTGCAAATCGATCACCGGCCCCTCTGAGCTCCTTCAGAAAACCAGTCAGTGGCTCCCAGGCATGGACAGCAGAGGTCCCAGTGGGGAGCTGGTTAGGGGTTCCTAGTACAGCCTGACAGGTGCTGGAAGATGAGGTTGGAGGTGGGAACTGAGGACAGGCTCTCCAGGGTGCACTCAACCAGGGCTTCTGGAGATAGCCCAGGCTGACACTGTAGATTCTCCTGGGAGCACTAGTTATATCCCTGGAAACAGGCAGAGGAACAGGCCCCAATCAGGAGCAGGTGTTTCAATGTGCAGAGGAGGAAATGGCTGTCACCACCCACCACCAGCCTCCTCCAGGTTATGATGGGGAGCCAAGTGTGGTGGCACACGCCTGTTAATTCCGGCACCCTGGGAGGCTGAGGCAGGAGGATGGTAAGTTTGAGTCCAACCTGGGTAACTCAGTGTGACCCTGTCTCAACATAAACAATAAAGGATAGAGATGCAGCTTAGTGCAAAGGCCTTGGGTCCCATGAACACTTAGCAGTGCTCACCACTTTTTCCCACTCTCCAACCCCAGGCCTCACCATGGTGGAGCTGAGATCCAGGTTGGTTCTTCTCTCCAGTTTCCAGCAGCCTGGGCAATTCTGCAAGAGAGGACAGAAGAGGCCAGGTATGGGGATGTGGCGGGATGCCCTGGCAGCTCTGGGCTGGTGTCTGCTCAGGGCACATGCCCAGGTGGGTACTCTGCCAGGGAGAAATTCAGGTACCTGTCAGCTGTCTGTTGGGGGAGAGCTGGCGACGAACTTTGAAGGCAGCAGAGGCAGAAGTGTATTTGTGTATCTATGGGTGTGCACGTGTATATTTAGGCGTGTTTACAAACTCATGTGCATGTAGTGCATGTTTATACCATGCTTACATCGTGTGCACACACATGCCTGTACTTCTCACACGTGGCTGTGGTAGAGCTCTTGCTATCAAGGATGCCAGTGCCCTTAAATGTCTTGTATTTCCCCTTGGTGCTGGGCAAACAGAAAGTGCTCAAACAATGCCCTCTGAACTGCACAGAATTAAACCTGCTGCCTCTCAGGACAGGTCAGAGATGCCTCTCTGTCACTGCTTCTGATTACACTGTAAGAAGAAGCCTCTTGTGCATCACCAGCCGCTTGGCCTTTCTGGTGGGAAGCAGCCACATAGGTTTCTCTCTTTGTTTCTGGGCTTCCAGAGGAATGGAACAGGGTCAAAGTGGCAAGAGGGTCTCCAGGCCCCTCTTGGTTTTGTGACTTTGGGGAATTTACTCTGGGAAGTGCCAAGAAATATGAGATTTTGTTCCTGGCCTTGTTATACCTTCTTGGTGTGTCTTGTGAGCCCCTGGGCCTCCCAACATCCCCAGTGTCACAGGGGCTGTGCTAGTTGCTTTGTGCTCTCCCCACCTGCCCTTACCATCATCCTGGCCCCAGGTGCTCAGCAGTGGCACCTCCAGATCCAGAGGCACCTCCAGCTCCATGCACATGCAGTGGATGAACGACTGCCAGGTGGCCATCCCTTGGGTGTACAGCTCCCCCAGCTGCAGGATAACCCTCTGCTCAGGGTCCAGCGCCTCACTGCTGGAGGCCAGGTCCACGTCAGGGAGGAAGAACTTCACCTTGGCTCTCAGCCATTCCTGGTTTGTGCTGAGCAGCCTCACAAGCCAGCCACGCAGATTCTCACTGCCCAGATGGAGGCTGTCGGGATCCATGAGGAGCTGCTCTGCAGGGACAAGGTTGGCAGGTGAGCTGGGGCAGATGCACTGGGGGACAGGTGAGCTCACAGGCAGCTGAGCTGGGGGAAGCCAAAGGGACAGCCTCAACACTGAGCAGCAGAGGACAGGCAGTGTCCTCTGCATGGGGTCCTGAAATCTCTGCCATCTCTACCTGCAATTGTATTCCTAAAATTCTAACCTCAGGAAACAGCCATGGTTGTACACACAATTTTTAATTACAAAGATAGATGTTCACTGCAAGATTATTTATAACAGTTAAAAACTGGAAGCAATCCGAACAAGCACCAATTGGGGATTGGTTAAATAAATCATGGTCCTCGTAGGCTGGAATATGCTGTAACTGCAGGCTTCCTGGTACTATTTTCTTACTAATGGTAGAAAATACATGGGAAGTGCATGTCAGGCATGGTTCTAAGGGTTTTCTATATCTACCTAATCCTTGCAATTCCAGAGATTCCACCTCTAATGCTGAAGACACTGGAGGCTTACCCAGGAGCCAGCCTTTTTAACTCCATCTGTTCTGGGGCTTAGATCCCAGCTCTGCCCTGGGCACCCTGTAGAGGCCTACGGGGCACCTACCCTCAGCCCTTCTGGTCACCCCTCCTCAAGTGCATTGTGCCTCTCTGCAGGTGTGCATGCACACATTCCTGCACTCTGCACACTCGGCCCATGGTACAGCTCTTGGCTGAGTTCCTACTGCTGGTGTCCCTTAAAGTATTGTTTCCCTTCAGTGCTGGGCAAATATAAGGTGCTTAAACAATGCCCAGTGAACTGAACAGAGTTAAACCTCTCAGATCTAACTAGTAAAGTAATAGCCCTTACACACACAAGACCTTAGAATTCCTGAACTGTGCTCATATGTATGATTCTCAAGTAGGGGCCACTATCCCCACAGATACATGGAAAGACTCAGGCCAAGAAAGAGGAAGAGATGTGCATCAAGTCTATGGCAGAGCCAGGATCAGAACTAAGATTTCTTGCCTCCCAGGCCAGGAAATTTCCATGGTGCTGGTGCTCTAAGTGGAGCCAGGCAAGGACAGGCCTCCAGACTCTGGATGATCCTGGCAAAAGGATGTGGCCACAGACTAGGGCATTGAAAAGAAGGGTATAACTTCTTTTCTGGACTCTGGTGTTAAGAGTCTATGCTGCCTATAAAGAAGTCATATGAGGGAGCATGGTGCCAGGGGAAGTAAAGGGTCCCTGGGTGTTGTGACTTCTGGGGCCATTCCTCATCCTCGAGTTTGGTCTCCTCCAGTCATTCTAACACACATCTGTTTCTCCCACTGGTATCCCAACCTCTTGATATCAAACATTTAAGGATAACTGTCCATGGGAGAAAAAGTCATTATGACTTCCTTCCATGGGAAACAGCTTTTCTCGTCTTTTGGGATTATTGGTAGGGTCATACACCCCACTCCCTTGAACTTGGGCATGACTAAAATTTATTTTGGCCAATGACATACGCTACAAAGAGACAATGTATCACATTTGTGCAAACATTTTAAGAGCAGAAGTATGATTTACCATGCCCTCTCTTTTCGTCTGCTCAGGGACCAGGAATTTTCCAGAGCATGGGTACTCCTTTAGCCTGGGTCTGGGAGAGAATGATATAGACTAGAGCTCCCAGTCCACTTACCATAGGCAAGAAGCAGGAAGAGGAAATGCTAGCTTTTGATGGACAAGCACAGAAACTTGAGGGAGTTTGTTACTGCAGCATAGTCTAGTAAATACATTTATGGTATGACCGTAAACCAGTGTCTTCCCTATCTGTCCCTTCAATGCACCATCTATAAAATGAGAAAATATGTGCTCAAGACTCCTCCTGACTTTCTACATCCAATACATAATTTCCATTCTCATGCTGCTTGGGGTCCAAGGGCAGGTTTATGACTGGGCAGCCTAGGGAGGTAGAGCTGGGTAGAGAGCAGTCTTGGCAGCAGGAGAATAAGGGGTAGTTGGGAGGAAAAAGGATGGCGGGGTGGGGCAAAGTGAAACAAAAAGCATTTACGGGCTTCTTAGTTCATGGTGGATATTCCAGGGTCCCATGAAATGGGTCTCATGGGTGTCTGTGCTGTCCTGTGTCCGGAGCTGAGTTGAGGAGTTTTTTCAGTGGTGCAGGCCCTAAGGAGAGAGGAGACAGGATGCTGTCCCCATTATTTCAGACTTAAACAGGAGTACTGTGAAAAGGACACCATTCTTGCCCCCACTTGCCAGAAATGCTTCTGAATACATTGGACCCATAAAGGTCGCCACACTTTCATGTTTATATTGAGTTCTTTGCCAGGCGCAGCTCCCTGTGTCCCTGGAATGTGCACTCCCTGACCTTCATGGAATCACTTCCTGTCACACCCAGAGCACAGGAAGTTCCCCCCTCCTCCAGCCTGGGGCCTGAGGTGTTCTGGCAAATGCAACATTTTATCCCAGCTCGTTCATTGCAGGGGCGCTGGATAATCTTCACTGCGCAGGCCAATATTATTCCCATGTAAACCCTCTCAGGAGGTTTGGATTCTGTTGTTTAAAATATTTATATATGGCAGAGAGTCAGGCATAGTGGTACAGGCCTATAATTCTAGCACTGTAGGAGGCTGAGGAAGGAAGATTGCAACTTTGAGTCCAGACTGGACAACTTAGTGACTTTGGGAGACCCTGATTCAAAAATAAAATATCAAGAAAGGCCTGGGCCAGGGATTTAGCTCAGTGTTTCCAGCGCCTGCCCCTCGAAAGTGCAAGGACCCGAGTACAATCCCTGGTCCAAAAAAAAAAAGAAAAGAAAGGGCTGAGGATGTAGCTCAGCATGAAGGCCCTGGTTTTAATCCCCAGCACTGAAAAAATAAACAACAACAACAACAAAAAAGCAAACAAAAACACAACAAAAATAAAACAGAGAAACACTCTTCTTAAAAGGGAACCCAGAGGCATGGATCCTTGCCTTACAGAGTGCACAGTGACAAGATTCTCCAGCCTCTTTTCCAACCTAACATGGTTTTAGAGATCTTGCCTCATAATACAGAATGAGCAGGAAAACGTGGCTGAAAGAAAGGACAAGAACAAAGAGTCGCCAAACACCAGTGTGCTCTGATTGTCTACCAGCGAAATAGGAGGAACGTAACTAGGAAAGTTCTAGGACTTTTGGGAAATCCACATAAACAAGGCACATTCTAAAATGACAGAGACGAGTACTGTAATTAGAAATAGGGGAAGAAAAAAGGATCTTGTTGAAGAGGTCCTGGGGAACTAATGATATTTTTAAAAAATTTTGGCAAGTTCTAACAGAAGAAGGGAATCAAGAGTGTGAGCAAGCAGGGATCAAACCTTACTGTGGACTGAGCTCTTGAGTCCTCCCAGAGGCAGATGGTGAAGCTCAGATCCAGTGCAGCGGGATTTGGATGTGGGGCTTTGGGAATGGAATTAAGTCATGAAGGCAGCCCTCAAGAAGGTGGGACAGGAGGAAGATCCGCCCCCCTCGCCACACAAGGACATGAGGAGAAGGCACTGTTTGCAAACCAGGAAGTGAGACCTCACCAGACACCAGATGCGCAGGTCCCTGATCTGATCTGGGGCTTCCCAGCCTCCCAATCGCCAAGAAAGAAAATTCTGCTGCTTAAGCCACCCAGTCCATGGTATTCTATTCTGTAACAGTAACCTGATCTGACTAAGGCAAGTCTGCTGTGACTACAGAAAGTCAAAGAAAAAAAAACTTCTATGAGTTAATGTGTAGGCTGAAGGCAATGCCACCTGAGTTTCAGCTGGATGTTCCAGGGAACTTGATAAAATTGCATTAACAATTCCTTAGAGAGAAAAGCAGACATAGCATGCATTTATATGCTTTTCACACTTCATCATAAAACATTTGAAATTAAAATTGAATTAAAAACAAACCTGAGCAGCCAGGGATTTAGCTCAGGTCCTGAGTTCTATCCCTGGTACCAAAAAAAAAAAAAAAAAAAAAAAAAAAAACAAACCTTCAAAAAAAACCAAACCTGGGGTCTGGAGCTGTAGCTCAGTGATAGTGTGTATGTTTAGCATGCACAAGTGTACAAGGTCTTGGGTTCAACCCCCAGCAAACCACACACAACAAACACACACACAAACTAAAGGCAACTGTATCAAAAATTTACTTGTTCAGTACAAGCAATATTGAAGAGGATTCCAACTAACCAGTAGCATAAGTAACTCTGCAGGTGGTATGTCTTACATTTGAAAAATAAACTTAAATTTTCATTAATGATTACTTTAATTGTGCTTATTAATCGGGTAGAATATAATTTGATACATTCTACAATCTGTGATAATCAAATCAAGGTAGTTAACATTTCTATCTCCTTAAATTTTTGTTTCCATGGGGAATTGTTTGAATTTCCCCTTTCCAGTTCTGTGATTTTACCTTTATTTCTTCTATTTTTTTTTTTAACTGAGGTTGTTTAAAGTTATGAACTTTGTCACTTGGGCTCTTTCTGGTCTTTTTCTTCAAAAATAATGAAAAAACCACTTTAGGCCAATACCCATAAAGTTATATCAAATGTTTGCATTATTAAATAGATCATAACCATAATTTGGAACAGTCATTTAATAGAGGGTTTTTTTTAAAGCTTCGCCATTGATTTCTTTGACTTAGCATACTATACAAAGGATAAGTCTTATACAATTTCTGCTTTAGAAAATATGTTCAAGGTTTTTCTTTTTTGCTTGGTATATGTTGCTTTTTTTAAAGTTCTGTGAACATTTAAAAAATGCTGTTGTTGCCAGGCGTGGTGGCGCACGCCTGTAATCTCAGCACTTGGGAGGCTGAGGCAGGAGGATTGCTGTGAGTTTGAGACCAGCCTGGGCTACATAGTGAGTTCCAGGTCAGTCTCAACTACGCAGTGAGACCCTGTCTCAAAAAACAAACAAACAAAATGCTGTTGTTGAATAAGGATGAATTTCTAGCTCATATCTTATACTAGAACAAAGTCTACACGTGGCCAAAACTTAGAAAATATAAAGTTAAACTATGAAAATGGTCAAAGACTATAAATTTAGTTTGGAACAATTTTTGAAGAAGTGCACTGATATTTTTGTATGTATTTTACAACAAAAAGTTAGAACTTTAAGGGCTAGAATAAAACACAGGCAAAATTTTAAAATGTTCTTTTCAGAACTAGGAGCACAGCTCAGTGACTAGTTCAGTCCCCAGTATAATAGGACCCAGAAGCCGGGCCTACAGATGCTCATGTGGTAACAAAAGCAGGGTGAGGCTTAGCATCTCTGCCTTCATTTTTTGTGTCTGTCTCATTTGTTACCCTGAAACTTTGCGTCAGATCCCTGCTCAGCTACGTACTAGGAAGGCTCATCACTTAAGGTGCATCTGTATTATAAGGCTTCTTAGTTCCAAACTTACCTGCTGAGTTCAACCCTCTGTAAGACAGAGGACACCAAGGTAAGAGTAACTAAAGGATTTGCAGTGACATCCAATTGCCAGTTTTTACAATGGAATTCCAGACCCCTGGAGTAATGACCAGAAGTCTCCAACCATTGTTCTACTCTTGCAGCCATTTCAGATTCCAGAAAAGCAAAGCCTCGCAGAGCACCCCTAGATGAGGTCAGTCCCTAGGCAGGAGCAGTGACCCCAAGGCAGGGAACCAAGGCTTCTAAGCAGGAGCCCTTGAGAACTGAACTGTACCCCCAAACTATGATGATTCTGTGGGACCCTAACCACTATGTAACCCCTAGTTAGCCAGCATATAGCAGCACACATTTCTTTCTACCCAGCTCCAAGATAAGATTAAAACAGAGTATATGGAAGCCTGGTACAGGTAAACAAGATAGTGACTCAAGGCCTCCTTAGAACAGAACAGCCTGAGTCTGGAGATGAAAGACCAGGTGCACCCTATAGCTGACTCCTTTAGATAGATGGCAGAAAACCGACCCCCTGACCCCTGGCCCACTTGCTGTGCTTGCAATCCACTTCCCTTGCCTTAAAAAAACTGTGCTAACCCCTGTGCTGGGCCTCTCTGAGCTGCTCAGTTCTGAGAGTGCTGTCTGGCCAGACTAACAAAGGTCTATTTACCAACAAGCCTGGTGTGTGCCTTCCTGGGTGACTCTCTGCTCATCAAGCTCCTGGAGCCTCGCTGAGCTATAGGTCCCAGCATCTTGGAGGCCCTTTGGTCTGTTCAAGGCTCCCAGAAGTAAGGCCCTGGGTCTTGCATCTGGAGCCATCGTTGGGCTATAGGACTCAGCATCGTGAAGGCCCTTTCGGCTGTTCACGCTCCTCGGAGTGGAAGTGAGACTTTAGGTCTTACAATTCTCCCAGGAATCAGTCCTGAGATAGTGATCAACCAGACCGCAGACTTGATCAGGATTACTAAATTGCCAGCTATGCAAACCTCCTGAGATGCAAATCTGTTGCCTTCTGTCAGCCCCTCAAAGACAAATCTTGAACTCCCTTATGTGTGCTGATTAAACCTCCTTTTCTGCCCTTCACTGTTGCTCATCTCCTTGATTGGTGTAATGAGGTGAGTAGCCAAACATGATCTGTCAGGACCCCTAGAGCCAGGGCTTTTGCTCTGAAGCTCCAGTAAAACCAGCACTGCAAAAATAAAAAGGAAAATAGAAAATTATTTTAGAGTAGAGAGGGCCTTGCTAAGCATGACACAAAACTTAGGAATCATACACAAAAAACTGGATAAAATTGTTTGAACACAAATTAAAAGTTTTGTCTTGTCAAAAAAACAATACAAGTAGGCTGGGGACTTAGCTCAGTGGTTCCACCGCCTGCCTCGCAAGTGCAAGGGCCCAAGTTCAAACCCTGGTACCAAAAAAAAAAAAAAAAAAAAAAAAAAAAAAAAAAAATGACAAACTGAAAAAAATATGTGCTAGTTATATCACAAAGACATACATGTTTTTAATATATCAATAGCTACAACAAATAATAAAAAAGATCAATGACCAGAAAAAAGAGGGCAAAGAATGTAAAGTTTACAGGAAAGGAAATACCCATGGCTTTTAAATATACAAAAAGGTATTCAACCTCACACAACATGAAGGAAATATATATACTAGAATTAAAAATGAGAAGATATTCCTTCTAGCTCTTAGATATGCAAAGACGTTACATAGTTGGCAAGTTGTGAATTAACAGGCAC